TCTCCAGGCCAGAATACTTCTGTGGGTAGCCTTTCCCTTCTCCAGAGGATCTTCCCAAGCCAGGGATTGAACACAGCTCTCCCACATTGCAGGCAGATTCTTTACCAGCTGAGACAAAAAGGAAGCCCAAGAATACTGCAGTGGGTAACCTATCCCTTCTCCACCAGATCTTCCCAACCCAGGAATTGAACCAGAGTCTCCTGCATTGCAGGCCGATTCTTTACCAACTGAGCTATCAGGGAAATCAATGTGAACGTTGCCTTTAATGTACCATGAGTCTCTTTGACTGTTCTCATTTGTTTTCCCTTTTTCCCCTTTTTCTGCTCTGCAGCAGCATATCTACCATATGTCTTCCAGGTCAGTTACCTGTTCTCCTGCCTCATTTAACTTGCCATTGATTCCTGTAGTATATTTTTCTTTTCAGTTCTTGTAATGTTGATCTCTGTTCTTTAGGTCTTCTGGCTCTTTATTAAACATTTCCTGTATCTTCTCATTCTCTGCCTTCATTCTGTTTTTAAGGTCTTGGACCATCTTTACTATCATTACTCTGAATTCTTTTTTGTGTAGATTGTGTATCTCTACTCTGTTGTTCTTCTGGGGTTTTATATTTTTACTTAATCTGGGAGTTACTCCTCTGATGTCTCATTTTGTCTACTTTCTGTGATTGTGGTTTTCGTTCCACAGACTGCAGGGTTGTGAAAGTGAAGTAGTCATCATTGATTAGTTTTCTTGCTTCTGCTTTCTGACCCCTGGTGGATGAGGCCTAAGAGGCTTGTACAGACTTCCTTGTGAGAGAGACTGGTTCCTGCCCACTTATGGGTGGACCTGGTTCTTGACCATCTCGGGGGCAGGGCCATGTCAAGGGGTGTCTTTAGTGGGCAGCTGTGGGCTCAGAAAGACTTTAGGCAGCCTGTTTGCTGATTGGTGGGGCTGTGTTCCTGCTCTGTTGGTTTGACTTCAGGTATCCCAGCACTGGAGTCTACAGGCTGTTGGTTGGGGCCCAGATCTTGGGGAGAAAATAGCACCCTCCAAGAGGCTCACGCCATTGAGTACTCCCCAGAATTACTGCCACCAGTGTTTCTGTCCTTGCAGTGAGCCATACCCAAGCCCTGCTTCTGCCAGAGAGACTCTGATTCCAGCAGATAGGTCTGGCCCAGGCTTTTATGAGATCGCTGTTTATTTGTTTTTTACCCTGGCCGTGGTGTACAGGAGACCTTATGTGCATTCTCCGAGAGTGAAGTTTTTGTTCCCTCCAGTACTGTGAATTTCCTGTAATCAAACCCTGCTTGCTGAGTTGAAAGCCAGTTTGTTCTGAGGGCTCTTTCTGATACCAGACCTCCAGGCTGGGGAGCTTGACATGGGGCTCAGAACTTTCACTCCTGTCGGAGAACCTCAGGAATATAATTCTTTTCCAGTTTGTGAGTTGCCTGTCTAGTGGGGACTGCATTTTTATTTTATTGCATTTGTACCTCTCCTGCCCTCTTGTGGCTTCTTCTTTGTCTTTGGATGTGGGATATCTTTCTTAGTAGGTTCCAGTCTTGTTTTTTGTTTGTTTTGCTTGTTTTTTGGTTGATGATTGTTTATCATTTAGTTGCAATTTTGATTTTTTTTGAGAAGTGAGCTATGTACAATATTACTCCACAGTCTTGTCTCCATGCTGGTTAACTCTCTGTAAATGGTGTTTTAAATTTCAAATTCTACTTTATTCTTGGTCTGTGGGAAAGCAGTTGGCTTTTGCATGTTAACCTTGTCTGCTGCACTGTAATTGTTTATTATTAGTTCCAGGATTAGGGTTTTTTTCTTCTGGTTTTGGTTTTGGTTTTCCATAGATGGACATTCTGCACTTATCTGCAAACAGAGGCAGATTTAGTGTCTTTCTTCCCAGTCTGCAAGACTTTGTTTCCTTTCTTGTTTTACAGCCACAGCTAGGATTTCCAGTGTACTATTGAAAAGCAGAGTGAAAGGAGACATCCTTGCCTTGCTCTTGATCTTAGTGGGAAAGCCTCTCGCCAATAAGTATGATGTTAGCTGTAGATTTTTATAGATGCTCTTTATCAAGGTAAGGAGGTTACTTCCTATTTCTAGCTTACAGACAGTGTTTTGTCATGAGTAAGTGTTGGATTTTGTCAGATGCTTTTTCTGCATGTATTGATAAGATCACGTGAGTTTTCATCTTTAGTCTGTTGACATAGTGGGTTATATTCATGGCTTTTTGAATGTTCCCAGCTTTGTGTACCTTGAATAAATCTTATTTCATTGTGGTATATAGTTCTTTTCATGTATTCAATTTGATTGTCTAATACTTGGTTGAGGATTTTTACATCTATGATCATGAGAGATGTAGGTCTGTTGTTTTCTTGTAATGTCTTTGCCTAGATTTCATATTAGGACAATGCCAGTGAGCGACTTCACTTCCACTTTTCACTTCCATGCATTGGAGAAGGAAATGGCACCCCACTCCAGTGTTTTTGCCTGGAGAATCCCTGGGATGGGAGAGCCTGGTAGGCTGCCGTCTATGGGGTCACACAGAGTTGGACACAACTGAAGTGACTTAGCAGCAGCAGCCCCATATAATGAGGCTTCTGACTGCTTCTGACTTGTGAAAAAAAATTGCAGAGGATTGGTATAATTTCTTCCAGAAATTATGGTGAATGTTAGGTAGAATTCACCAGTGAACCCATCTGGATCCAATACTTTCTGTTTTATGAAGTTACTGATTCAGTTTCATAATACAGGCCTATTTTTAAAAAGAATTTTATGTTTCATTGAGGTTATCAAATTTGTGGACATAGAGTTGTTTATAGTATTCTTTAAACTTCTAATGTACATGAAATCTATAGTGATATCCCCTCTTTCATTTTTGATGATAGTAATTTGTGTCTCCCCGCACCCCCTCACATTAGGCTGGCTACATTCTTACTGATCTTTTTCAAAGAGCCAGCTTTTGATTTTGTTAATTTTTTTCCATTGATTTCTTGGTTTCAATTTCATTGATTTTGGTTCTAGTTTTTATTATTTCTCTTCTGCTTACTTTTAATTTTACTTGCTCCTGTTTTCTTAAGATGAAAGTTTAGGTTATGGATTTTTTTTTTTTTTGTCTTGGTATGCCTTAAAATTTTTTATTGAAAGATGGACCTGATATACTACTAATGCAGTGAGTGGTAAGGGGCAGGAGAGCATTCTGTTCAGAAGATCAGTTTCAGTCTTTTGGTGAAGATGTGTCCCCTGTACATTTTGGGCTCGTCTGACACTAGATTTTGGTTAGGCATCTTTGGCAGGAGTATCAAGATGCTCTGTTCTCATTGCATTGTGTTGGTTGGTGCACTATTTTGATTTAGTCTCATTACTGATGATGTTCACTTGATTATTTGATTAAGGTGGTGTGTGTCTGTGTTTTCCTTTGTAATAAATATTTTGTGGGGAAGAATTAGAAATTTAGAAAAATATTTATTCTGCCTTTTACCTTCAATTTATTTATTTATATTATCTAAATATGGACTTACAGTTTTCTCTCAGTTTAGTGGATTATAATCTTTAACCATCATTATTTGTCACAGATTTGAGCATTAAGAACTTTTTTAGTCATCTATTTTTTAGTACATCAGTAATTCTTTGAGGTTTTTTTTTTTTTTTTTGGCTATGAGAAGATAGTCTAAGTTCGTCTTATACTTTCCCTATCTCAGTCCTGGATTCAGCTGTTTCTATAAGGAGCTGTGCTTCTTCTTAGAAAAGAATGATGTTTAGAAGGCAGGATTCAGCTGCCAGGTGTCCCAGTTGCTGTCGGGCTGTTGCCGTTCCCATGTATGTATACACATGGATACATATACTCACATGCACATATATCCTTTTGTATATTTATTTGTCCATATTTATACCTAACAACGTATACTCACGTTGAAATGTTCAGTCCTTTTAATCCTTCACCACAAGATTTATCCTAGTGTCCGCCCTTTCTGAGAATGAGTAATGAGACCCATCACAGTTAGTATTTTGACTTTTATTTAAGTACTTTATTAAAATACTTGTCAGGTACTGTGCTAAGTGCTTTATTTTACTTATCTAATTTGATCTTCTCAACAGCAGTGTAAAAGATTTTCAGAAGAAAAACGAGACTAAAGGAGATGGTATAAGTTCCCCATACAAGCCACTGAATAGCAGAACTCGGGTTGGAACCTTGGTCTGTGTGACTGTGGTGTTTGTGCTCTTGATCATTAAGCTACTTTTAGCTAGTGCTGCCATAAGCATAATTCTTCAGGATTAACTCCTGAAGGAGTCAGGGTTTGCAGTGGTATACCATATGCATGTATAAAGTTTTGGTAAGCCCTGACATACTACCCTTCAAAAGGTTGAACTAGACTGTGCCTACCAACATGGACAGTGCTGACTTGCTGGCAGCCTCCCTAACACTGAATGTTTTCTGTTACTTTAGTTTTATGTAGTTTCATTTTTCAACTTAATCAGTTGCAAAAACCCCTGTCCCTCTGCCATCTCTTCATAACAAAGCCTGTTTGTTTATATCTGTTCTTCTCGAAATTGTTTATTGTTTTCTGTTATTCTTAGAACACTGTCCAAATGTCTCAGCATGGTCTTCAGGAAGACTCTTTATGATATGGCCTCTCTCTTTCTGTACCTGAGTCTTTGCACTGTGGTCCAGCATGCCACACCTGTTTCAGTTCTCTAACCACATCCTTTGTCTTGCCTCTGAGGTTTTGTATGTATCGTTTCTTTTCCCTAGAATACCTTTCCCTCTATAGTCACTTTGCTCTTTTCAGCCAGGTTTTGCTTGTTTTTCAGTTCACAGTTTAGATTCATTTCCTTCAGGCAACCTGTGATGCCTTTTCTATGTGGTTTATTAAACTGAAGTCAAACGAAACCTTACTGAGGTATTGACTGGATCTGTGAAAATGGCCAAGTAAATGAAAAAGTATAACTGGCTTTCAAACTCTTATACTAGTTTATGGCAAACTACAATGTAGTTAATTGTGTTTTTTTCCATATAGTCCCTGCCAGCCTGTCTGGACTTGACCCAAAGGACATTGTGGCAGTGCTGAATGAGGAGGGAGGCTACCATCAGATCGGACCAGCAGGGCGCTGTACCGACTTCTTCATCATGTCAGTGACCATAGCATTCGCCACCCAGTTGGAGCAGGTGAGATTGGTGATTCACGAAGAATCTGAAAACATTTTATTTTTAAAATCTGTCTTTTAGGTATTGAAAAGACTTGTAAGTAGACTTAAAAAATAATTTAGAATAATGTTTTCTTTCACATCAGAAAACATTTTTGTTTCAGGAAAAGAATAAATAGGGATGATCTTGGTAGTAAGAGAATAAATTAGATCTCTTAGAATTTAGAAGAAAGACCATGAGTAAACTTTGTTTTACATTGTATTGTGTGACACTGTTAGGGCTGGTATGAAACGATTCCCCTTCCTCTCCCCCACCCCCAAGTATTAAATTATTTACTTTTTGGAGAAATGTATAATGTTGGGAACATTGTCTCAGTCATACCTTAATAGCTGTCAGGTCTGGGATTCAATTTTACCCTATTTACAGACTAATAAATTATCCCAAATGCTGCCAGAAGATAGTAGATTCTTAGATCGGGGATAAAGGCGTGTATTACTCTCAGCCCAGCAAATAATATGACTATCAGTGTATTTCTTTCAGTTTCTTCTACCCCAAGTACCGTGGCGGTGACATAGAGGGACCTAGGTGGTTTCTCCACACTCACTGGGTATGTCACAGTTTAGGAATAGGGAATTTAGGGAATGTGCCACTTTTAGCATAAGCAGTGCTAGTCTCTGTCTGGGAAGACAAGTCACAAGGTTATGAGTTGCACAGTAGTGAGGGCCTCACAGCCGTGGTACACAGTAAGGATGTACCAACCAGGATGAATTCTGGCAGTATTCAGGCTTATCTGTTAGTTTGTAAACAAGGTAATATCTAACCCCAGAATGTGTGGAGATGTTTAAGGCCCATGGCTGATTATCTCTTCCCATCAATGGCTCAGCACACAACAGTAGCTGAGATCCTTTTCAGGATCACGTGCAGTTTTTTTGACATTATATTGATCTATAGTGTGTGAAGTAATGTTTTTAAAAAATAGAGACTATAACTTAAGACTTTACATTTTTATCATACTATTCACTTTCTTAGAGGTATACATTTTCCAGATAATCCACATGCATAAGTGAAATATGAGTTAGTGACCACACTAAATCTTTGTAAGGTTTGTCAGGTAAAGATTTTTCTTAGGAAATAATATTTAGCTTTGTCACACTGAATGCATGCCCACTGCACAAAGTACTTTTATATATGTATAAAAGTATATACATTTCTTTGTATATACTTTGAGAAAGTATAATTTCTCAAAGAGAAATTATTTGAGAAAGAGTAATACTCTTTCTCCCCCAATTTGGTCCTGTCATTTTCTCATTAACACTTTGTATGTGCTTTTGTCTTTCTCCATCAGTTTCCTTATTTTTTTCTTCTCTTCATAAAACTGCTTGTTGATTGCCCTGCTTAATGTGCCTTACTGGTTGGGGGGAAAGCCAGCTACCTATTGTCTGTTCATTAATCACATTAGATACACATTAGATAATGCTCCTATTGTATTTTTATTATGTTATTAAATACCTGCAAAGTATTTAAAATCACTACTTTATTTTTAAAAATATTTTTTCAGCTTCCCTGGGAAGGCATAATTGTTAATATTTATCAGTCAACTTACTTTTGTTATGTTTTATGAAATACTTTGCTAATGTTGGGTTTAAATGTACCACAACTTTAGGAGGTTATTAGTTTTACTTTTCAGATAAGGAAACCAACTCTTGAGAAAGTTCTGTAACTAATAAATATACTTAGGAATTTCCAGCCATAGGGTCACTTTCCACATTCTGTTGTTGCCATATTTTGCTCCCTCTGAAGGAGTTTTGGAGTAAGATCAATTTGAGCTAGAGTCTCATTCTCATACTAACTAGCTTCTTTAATTTAGGGAACTTACTTAACCTTTCTCAGGCTTGAATTTTCTTGGTTGTGTGGTATTGGTACTACCAGCTTTGTGGGTGTGTGTGAGGAATGAAATAAAACTAACGTGCTTAATATGTAGTTTGTATGTGTGAAGCTATACACACATACCTGGTGAAAGCTAATCGACCTGTTTGAATCCACCACTAAAACTAATTCAGTTCTTTGTAATACGAAGGAACTGATTAGGAGAAATCACTCAGCTTAGTTAAAAATATAAAACAAGCTTGTCTGGCAAGCTATTTGAAATCTCTGATAAAAATTAAGCCAAATATGTAACTCCTAAGATTAAACAGAAAATTACCATAGAACTCAACAATTTCACTACTGGGTATATATCAAAAGAATTGAAAACAAGGTATTCAAATAAAAACTTATACGTAAAATTCATAGCAGCATTATTCACAATCCCAGAATTTCACAGAAATAACACAGTGACCATCCATGGATGAATGGATTAATTATACACACACCCACAATGGAATATTAGTGGAATATTATTCAACTGTAAAACAAATGAGGTACTGATCCAGGCTACAACAAGGATAAATGTTGCAAGCATGCTGAACAAAACAAGCCATATATGAAAGGCCACATACTGTGTGATTCCATTTATAAAAAAGTATCCAAACAGGGCAGACTCAGAGAGACAAAAAGCACATTTGTGATTTCCAGGGGTGGGGAAAGTTGCAGGGGCGTGGAATGGGAGTGGCTGCTTAATGGTTCTGGTGTTTCTGCTTGGGGTGATGGAAAAGTTCTGGGACAAGGTAGTGGTGATGGTTGCACAATATTGTGAATGTACCTAATGTTACTGAAATACACAGTATTTAATGGTTAAAATGTTAAATTTTCTGTTACAGGTATTTTACAATAATTTTTTAAAACACAAAAAATTAAGCCCAGTAATTTATTCATACTCTGATATTGCTTAGTATTACTTGTTTGCTTTTTTTTTTTTTTTTGGACTAGCCCAAGGATTTTTAAAAATAGCATTTTAGCTGTCTTCTCAAGTTAGTCAAAGGCCTTGTGAGAAAACATTTAGTAATAAATAAAGAAACATATTTTTCAGATGCAGATAAGGGACTTAGAATACTGATACTATAAAGTAGTAGAATGGAGGAGTGAGATTAGAATAAAAATACTGGATGATAATAATCTTACCTCCTTTTTAAATAGTGAAATTAAGGGTAAACAAAACAAAACTGTTTCTAAATCCAAGGGTGATAAAGGATTTTTAAAAGCATCTCTTCCCTTAATGGGAATTACTTGTAAGTGTACTATGAAATATAAAAGGGCTATCTTTATTTCTTAAAAGTTTTGTTGCTTCCTGATTACGGAAGAAAGTAAAAGAAAATGAAAGTCTCTTTTAAGTAAACTCAGAAATAATCACCCATAAGGGCAGAATATTTTTTCCTCAGATATTTTTCCATTCATGTAACAGTTGACTGTGTGCTAAGTAGAATTGCAGAAGTGAACATGTATTATTTCTTTTAACCCTTTACATAACCATAGGAGACGTGGAGCTGCAGTGATTAAGTACTTGTCTAGTCTCAAGGCAAGCCATTGGTAGAACCAAGGTTGAGGACTGGGGAGTACTCCAGAATTTGTTCTTAATAATTACAATATTGGTAGTTTTTGATTATGCTTTTAGATTTGATTAATGATTAAAATCTAATCAATTAAACAAACACATTTTAAAGTATAGGATTAAAGTAATAACATATATAATAATACAGAGGTCCGTGACATTGTACAAGAGGCAGTGATCAAGACCATCCCTAAGAAAAAGAAATGCAAAAAGGCAAAATGGTTGTCTGAGGAGGACTTACAAATAGCTATGAAAAGAAGAGAAGTGAAAGGCAAAGAAGCTGCCATATGACCCAGCAATCCCACTTCTGGGCATACACACTGAGGAAACCAGATCTGAAAGAGACACGTGCACCCCAGTGTTCATCGCAGCCTTGTTTATAATAGCCAGGACATGGAAGCAACCCAGATGNGGACCTAACAGAAGCAGAAGATATTAAGAAGAGGTGGCAAGAATACACAGAGCTATACAAAAAAGATCTTCACGACCCAGAAGTAGCAGAAGTAGATGTTCTTCTGGAATTTCCTTACTTTCTCTATGATCCAACAGATATTGGCAATTTGATCTCTGGTTCCTTTACCTTTTCTAAATCCAGCTTGTACATCTGGTAGTTCTCAGGTCACATACTGTTGAAGCCTAGCTTGAAGAATTTTGAGCACTACCTTGCTTCATGTGAAATGAATACAGTTGTACAGTAGTTTGAATATTCCTTGGCATTGCCCTTCTTTGAGATTGGAACGAAAACTGACCTTTTCCAGTCCTGTGGCCACTGCTGAATTTTCCAAATTGGCTGGCATGTTCAGTGCAGCACTTTCACAGCATCATCTTTTAGGATTTTAAATAGCTCAGCTGGATTTCCATCACCTCCACTTGCTTGGTTTGTAGTAATGCTTCCTAAAGTCCACTTGACTTCACATCCCAGGATGTCTGGCTGTAGGTGAGTGAGCACACCGTAATGGTTATATGGGCCACTAAGACCATTTTTGTCTTTGTTAATTCTTGCCGCCTCTTCTTAATCTCTTTTACTTCTGTTAGGTCCTTGCTGTTTCTGTCCTTCATTGTGCCCGTCTTTAAATGAAATGTTCCCTCAGTATCTTCCAGATTTTCAATCTATACCTCCATTCTTTTTCCAAGATCTGAATCATCTTTAGTATCATTACTCTGAATTCTTTTTCACATACATTGCCTATCTTCACTTCGCTTAGTTACTGTTCTGGGGTCTTATCTTGTTCCTTTGTCTGGGACAAATTCTTCTGGTATATCATTTTGTCTTCCTGTGATTTCAGTTTCTCTTCCACAGGCTGTAGGATTATAGTTCTTTTTTGCTTCTGCTTTCTGCCTGTGGTGGATGAGGCCAGCCCAAGGGGCTTGTGCAGGCCTCCTGGTAGGAAGGACTGGTCCCTGCCTATTGGCTGGTGGAGCTGGGAGTCATCCTTTGGTGGGCAGGGCCATATTAAAGGCTATGTTTAGTGGGCAGCTGTGGGCTCAGAAGGCCTTTATGTGGCTTATCTGATAATTGGTAGGGCTGTGTCTCGCCCTGTTCATTGCTTGACTTGTTGCATCCCAGCACTGGAGCCTACAGGCTATTGGGTGGGGCCAGGTCTTGGTTAAAAAATGGTGGCCACGAGGAGGGCTCACACCAATGGGTACTCCCCAGAAATACCACTGCTGGTGTCTTTATCCCTGCAGTGAGCCGCATTCATCCCACCTGTCACACCTTCACAGGACGCCCTGCAATATCAGCAGTTAGGTCTGGCCCAGGATCTCATGAAGTCACTGCCTTTTCCCATGTTCCTGGTGTGCCCGAGACCTTGTGTGCATCCTCCAAGAGCGGAGTTTCTCTTTTCCCTGGTCTGTGGATTTCCTGTGAGCAGACTTTGCTGGCCTTCAAAGCCAGGTGCTCTGGGGCTTCTCCCAAGACCAGCCCTCCACATTGGGGAGCCTCATGTGGGAGAACTTTTGTGATATAATTATTTTCCAGTTTGTGGGTTGCCCACCTAGGGGTATGGAATTTGATTTTATCATGATTTTCCCTCTCCTACCCCCTTGTTGTGGCTCCTTCTTTGTCTTTGGATGTAGGATATCTTTTTTGGTATGTTCCAGTGGTTTTTCTTCCTTTCCCCGCCCAGTGGTTGTTTAGCAGTTGTGAATTTGGTGTTTTTTTGAGAAGAGATGAGCTCAAATCCCTCTACTCCACCACCTTGTTCCACCCTCAGTAAACATTTCATTGGTGAAGGGCTCCATATCCCCCCTGCAATAGCTCTTTATAGTGGGTGGAAGATAGCCTTTTGTAGCTGTTAATTTACATGTCTCCAAGTTTTGTAGGAATAATTAAAAAACCATTTTTTTTTTCTTTCATCAAAAGCCCTGGATTGAGAATTTATAAGGAAAAGTTCAGTGTCAAATATTTCACTACTTTCTTCTAAAATAATATTTATGGACTTTTCATGGACTAGTTAAATGAAATGTGAACTCTAAAACAAGTGTTATGTTATACAACATAAATGTATAAAAATATTTTAGTTTCATTTTGCTTGTCTAAGTAAACCTTTAAAAATTAAAACTAGTAACTTAGTAGCAATTTGGCAGAGATTAGAAATTTTGAGTTACTAATTTAAGGCCTGAATTAAAAATCATTTTAGCAAATGTTTTTGGAGTTTATCAGACATCTATAAGCATGTTTAGTGGCTTATAAAGTAATAATCTTTTTTTTCCCCCCCTTAAATGTTTAGTTAATTCCATGTACCATGAAACTTCCAGAAAGACAGCCTGAGTTTTTCTTTTATTATTCTTTACTGGGAAATGATGTTACAAATGAACCCTTCAATGATTTGATCAACCCAAACTTTGAGCCAGAGAGAGCATCTGTTCGTATCCGGAGCAGTGTAGAAATTCTTCGTGTTTACCTGACTCTTCATTCTAAACTACAGGTAAGTACAGCAGAAAATTGTTTCCAATTAGAGCTTATTTTTTTGTAAGCATTAAAGAGGTGCCTAAACTCTCTTGTTTCTGAAGTATATACCATCTTTCTACCACATCTTATTTTTTTAGGAATTATCCTGACTTGTAAGTCATAAGATGATAGTTATTTCAGAATGTTAGGAGATGTAACATTTTAGTTATTTTGAAAAGAGGTAGGTCAGTTATCAATCATTTATCATATTCAATAACAAATCATACCTGGAACTCAAACCTGTGAGCATCAGGCAGGTTTCATTATTGTTACTGGAGATTAGCTGTTACCATACAGATCACACTCTAGAGTTCAGAACTTATAAACCTTTTTGCTATTAAAGCAAAGAGATAATAAAACAACTTTTTAAAACCTGTCCTTGAATTAAGTAATTTTGTAAACCAATTTTAAATAGGACTTTATTTTTTAGAAAAGTTTCTCTAATCTGAAATTACTTCTTTGTTCATTATGATTAGCTTTAATCAGACTGAAATGGGTGGTGAAGTGTAGGGTGGGGTAGTCCTTTTTTTATACTAAAGTGATTCAATAGAGCTTGTACTTTGAGTGGATAGTACAAAAAGCATAAAGAAATTTTAGTGGAACTAAATTTTAGAGGTGGTTGCTAAATCCAAGGTATTTAGAATGTTGACGATTATATAAAATGATGAAGGAAAAAAGTAGTTTGATCTTATATCTAACATATTCCTCACCAAACTATTGACTTACATATCAATTTGATTCTTATGGACTTGTAAGTCATAAAAATCCTTTCTTTCTAGCCCGTTAAAAATATCACACTTAATAACATTAAGACTGACATTAGAATTAAAAATATTTTTATGTAATGATTGCATATTGTTCATGTGAATAGTAGGTTTGCTGAGGCTTTAGTGTAGTAAGGGAAAAGAATAGTTATGTAACACATACCTGGAACAGCCGTGTTTTTTTGTTTTTGTTTTTTTTCTTTTTTGGTAGTTTCCAAAGGTGGTAATGTCCAAGTTTTGATTAGCTAGCAGTGATTCACAGTACATTCCATCTCAGTGATATTCTCTTTTATCTTTTACTGTTAAGCACTGTTTTATATAGAGAGTTTGAAAAGCAAGAAAAAAGAAAGATTCATAGTGTTTTATGGGTGAATAAAACAGAATTATTTGAAGTTCTTTAGTTCAAATAGGGCTGGATCCACTCACTTAGTTTTTAAGAACTGTGCTTAAATTAATGTTATAATGAAAAGAGAAAAGAATTGTGGATGTATTTCTGTTTAAATTCATGTATTCATGATACAGTTTGCATATGTACAATAAGATAGTATAGTAAAATATTAAAGTAACCATAGCTCACCAAGGAGACAGAAAAGAGAACAAGAAGTAACATGTAATGTCTATGGATGATGATGATTCATGTTGAGGTTTGACTGAAAACAACAAAATTCTGTAAAGCAATTATCCTTCAATTAAAAAATAAATTTAAAAAAAGTAACACATAGGAGTAAACAATACTGAAAGGAAAAGTGAAAAGAATTAATAACTTTATTATTGAGTTCTGGGTAACTTTATGCTTTATCAACAGTTTTAGCAATCAGGTATGAGAATCTTAGTCACTAGCAGTCAGTAAGATAACCTGCATTCTGCTTTCCTTCTCTGAACCATTTTATAACTTTGTTGTTAAGTTTGTGTGTTTAGGATAAAGGAGAAAGTGTAAATTCTGGTTTTGACTTTCGCTTTCATATTAGATCCATCTCTGCTGTGGAGATCAGTCACTTGGAAGTACAGAAATACCCTTAACCGGACTACTGAAAAAGGGTAGTACAGAAATCAACCATCGTCCAGTCACAGTTGAGGGTGCTTTTATTCTTGACCCTCCAAACCGAGCCAAACAAAAGCTTGCGCCTATTCCTGTGGAGTTGGCCCCCACGGTGGGAGTGTCTGTGGCTCTGCAGAGAGAAGGCGTGGACGCCCAGGCAAGTAGCAGCCCGCCTTCCCCTCCTCCAGCTTCTCTGATACGTCGCTCATGATTAGTTACAAAAGTCGAATTTCAGATGCATCATCTCTCATAAGAGAGTATTTATCACTCTTAATCGTGGTCTTCATTATACGATAACCCCTTCTCTAAAAAGACCCTTCTAAACAGTGCTGTGGCTTCTGCCATGGTTCATAAGTGACTCTGCCCAGAGTCTTTGAGTCCAGTTTTCTCACATAGTGGAAACCATCTCCCACACTCCAACTCACCATCAGTGACCACGGGACTCTGGTGGAAGAGACTGTTTTTAGACCTGGTTTCTGGGGATCTGCATTAATAGATCTTTTTTAGTTGACTCAGCCTTAGCTAAGTTTCTCGTTTCCTTAGTGCTTCACAGTCCTCATACTGTCTCCAGGCAATAGAAACATTTATTTGAATGTAGATGTTTTTTGATTATATATAGCCCTTGAGTCAACTTTAGCATCCTGTTCTTTTAAAGAACTGATTTTTATGTAGACTCTGAACTAAAGTAAGAATTTAAAAGGACACATACGCATGTATTTTTGGAGGATAGTGAACCAAAGGAAGAAAATCATACTAGACTTCTGGTTTTTGTTTGTTTTGGTTTTTGTTTGTTTTCTAGTAATGTGGACCTCCTTTGTATTGCTTTGGTAGGAATAACCATTCTTGGGGACACCTATGCCTGACTTCCTTTATTGAACATCCCTTCTTAGGATGCATTTTGATACTGAGCTCTGGATATCATATTTCCTTCCTGTTCATCTCCCTTTTTCTGGTCCTAGATGCTATAAGAAAATATGCAAATTATGAAGAAAAATAGACTAGGAATATCCAAACTGGGAAAGGAAGCTATTTAAAAAAAAAAAAACAACATCACGTTTTTTGCTTAATTATGAAGGAAAGTTCTTTGCAAATTATACTTTATTTAAAAATTGTTTTTAGTCTTTAATTGAATTAAAGACCCAGAATGAACATGAGCCACACCATTCAAAGAAGAGAGTTTTAACCCCCATAAAGGAGAAGGCACATACCGGGCCGCAGTCACCAAGCGGGTCCCCTGCTCCACCTCACAACCAGTCACCTCCAACCAAAGACGATGCGACAGAAAGTGAAGTGGAAAGCTTACTGTATGATAAGGACACAAAACTTAATCCAAAGGGTAAGATGTTCTTTTCACAGATCTTTTAGGTATAGATTTTCTGGCCATCTGATAAATGACTGTGAGAGTTTTCATGGGTGCTAAGTAAAAACTATAAGTTTCTTTTAAAGAGCCAGTAATGTGTAGTGATGTGTTTTTTTTTTAAATCAGTTTAAAGTAATTGCAACTTATATAACTTCATAATAGAATTTGCTAACAGAAAATTTTTCATTGACTTTCATACTAGAAATAGTCTCTTATTCAAAGGAAATTAAAGAATATAGTTCTTTGAAGTAGATTTTTAGCAATCTCAAATTCATTGGAATTTTAGAGAAGAGATACTGCCTCTTACAGTAAACTTAAAATAATCACTTTTGATCTTAAAGTTGAGACAGTTTGAGAATACATATTTATCTGTCTTATACAATTTTTCTACCTGTTACCTAAGAATCTGTAGTTAAATTTAGTAGTATAAATTGTAAGAGCAGTGGTGGATTAGGAATTAGAAGTTTGGGTGCAAGTTGTAAGTGTTTCCATAAGTAGCTATAGGACTTGAGCCATTCACTAAACATCTGTGATATATAATAGGATTGGAATAGATATCTCTGTCTTTTCAGTTTTGAAAGTTTTTATTGGAGTGTAGTTGATTTACAGTGTTGTGTTAGTTTCAGGGGTACAGCACAGGGAATCAGCTGAACATAGATCTACTCTCTTTGAGATTCTTTTCCCAAGGCTATTACAGAGTATTGAGTTCCCTGTGCTAGACAGTAGGTCCTTAGTAGTTACCTGTTTTATATATAGTAGTGTGTATATGTTAGTCCATGTCCCAATTTCTCTCTCCCCCCTCTTTACCCCCTGGTGACCATAAGTGTGTTTTTTACATCCGTGACTGTATTTTCCGTTATGTAAATAAGACCATTTGTACCACTCTTTGTAGATTCCACATATAAGTATTATCATTGATACTTGGTTGTCAAGTTTTATTTTGTTAGACTATGTCATATGTGTCTAAAATAACCAAGCTACTTAAAAAAAAAAACGGATGTAATTATTTACATAACTACTATAAAATACTGATGTATATGTGCAGTAAGTCTCGAACACAATCTTTGCCATACTAAGTTTTAGTCACCTGCTTCTTAGAAATAAGTTAGTGCCAGGCTGCTGTCAGACATTGCTGCCTCAGCACTATATGCTTTTTAAGTTCTGCACATCTTGAGAATGAGAATAAGGGTTTTTTTGTTTTGTTTTGTTTTTTTACCCCCACAGTTCTGTGATGGGAATTAAACATCTTGAGAATGAGAGTAAGGTCTTTTTTTCCCGTAGTTCCATGATGGGAATTAAAGCCTACATAATTTTGGACAAATCACTTGGAAGTTTATGCTTCAGTTCATATGTTTATTTAGTTATTTAGTTGAGTCTTTAAGATTATATCTTTAAATTACTGAGTAACTTAAGAGAACTTGTTTGCAAATGAAATTTTTTTTTTTTTTAAATTTTTATGTTCACCTTAGCTGTCAGTTCTTCTGTACCTGCAATACTGGCCCAACCAGTGACAGCATCTGTTGCTTCAGAAATAGCCTCAGGACAGAAGATTGCTGTTCCTGCAACATCACATCATTTTTGCTTTTCGATAGACTTGAGGAGTATCCATGATTTGGAGGTTGGCTTTCCAATCAACTGTATACTAAGGTATGATTTGATTTTGTTTCAGAGTGTTATTTTCTAAGAAGAAATGCCTTTTCTGTATTTGGGGTGTTGCAGACAATGTCACCAAAGAAATTATTACATTTGTTAAATCAGTGGACCAGAAGGATTAAAGCAGTTATGTCCTATGGCTTTGAAGATAATGGAGGGTGGCATTGATGGTATGAAGGGTAGTTAATCTTGCCTGTTCTGATATAGTAATTATAGGTATTTTACAATACTTGTTAATGTTCTGTTTCAAAATACACTGACTCTTGAACTTAAAATGTCTTGTTTCTGGAAAAGTTGCCGCAGTTCAAAATACTTGGATGTATAGTATCTGATTTTTCTATAAAATTGCATTATAATGGAAGGTTATATTCCTGATATCTACCTTTTATATGTATGAATCTAAAAACCATACCTAATGAACTGGAAGTGGAATGTGTCCACACTGTTGAGAGAATTGAAATTCAGTCTGTTAAATGACTTTATGCAGTGGCTTGTTTTTAATATTACATTTTCATAGATTTTCAGCTGATAAATATATTAAATGTAATATGATTGTGTGTTTTAGTTTGGAGTCTTTAGGTTCTTATAAATTACTTTGGAGCAAGCAATAGCATTTGTAATAACATTTTTGGTCTTTATGTGACTAACACGCAAAAAATTAGAAAATTTTTCTCTCATCTTGGATTACCATTCCAAAGAACTTCATCAACTTTTTGTTGCTTCCTGCTGTTGTTTGAGGCACGTCTGCCCTTCAGATGCCCAAGTCAACTCCTTGTGTGTGTGTATGCTTATTTCTTTCTGACTCTGTGATCCTGTGGACTGTATCCCGCCAGGCTCCTCTGTCCATGGGATTCTCCAGGCAAGAATACTCGAGTGGGTTGCCATTTACTTCTTCAGGAGATCTTTCCTATCCAGAGATCAAACCCGGGTCTCCATCATTGGCAGGTGGATTCTTTACCACTGAGTCACCCAGAAAGCCTTAAGTCCACTCCTATTGTATCTAATCTTACAGTTCTTTTGATCGTTTATCAAATTGCTTCCAACGTCCTCTGAGCTTTGGTGTGAATAAAGGACAGAATCAAAGGGACCCAGCACTGAATGTGACAGTGAAGTCGTAGAATGGAAGTCTATCCTCACAGCTTAAGTTCTGCCTATTACTTCATGTTAAAGGCTGAGAATCATGGCTGAAAGACTGTTTTTATTTAAAAATTGAAAGCCTAGAAAAGGTTTCCTCTTATAGACATAGCTTTTCTCACTGGGTTTATGTAATATAGAACTATTGCTTTTTCTGTTTTGCTCCTAGTGGAGAAACTGGTTTTAGAGATGATGTTGGCCAGAAGCACAGGGGTGATCTAAAATTGGATGAAGGATTTCCCTGGTGGTCCAGTGGTTAAGACTACACACTTCCACTGCAGGGGCATGGGTTCAATCCCTGGTCAGGGTGCTAAGATCCCACATGCTTGTGGTACAGCCAGAAAATAAAATAAATAGAATAGATGTTTTGAGGGAAAGTCTTGAACAAGCCCACTTAGAAAGCACACATTAGTTTTTGTGTTTCCTGATTGCCACAGGCCCATTTGTTTAATCATCAAGTGATTACAGTAAGCCAGCAGTTTGCCCAGTATCAGGGCAGGGGGCATATAGACAAAGAGCTCAACCTAGTGAAGAAGACAGATTCAGAAATATGTTAATAAATGAGGGAGGCCAGTATTATAGTGCACTTGACAAAGAAAAGTGGAAAGAATATTCTGCCCCAAGGAAATAGTTAGAATCCACTTCATACTCTGTAGAAATTATTTGATCAGTTTAAATCCTAGTTTTGTCAATAAACAACAAAGTATCAGATGAAATTTGAGTGAGCATTACAATATCTTTATATTTGACTTTAAATACAAAATAAGTTCAGCAGTAAGCCAGGCATTCTTCTGTTTAATCTGGTGTGACTTATGTTGAAAGAAATAATGTTATGTCAATCTTTGATTCTTTTGTAGTATATTCTCAGTTCAGAGACAAAACACTATGACTGCATCCTTTAGGAGTTGACTAAGGGTTTTTTTAGCCCATAAAAAAATCAGGACATTATTATATAAAGGAAAATAAGTTTAAAAATTGAACTTAGCAAGCATTTCTTGACAGTATACTGTATCACAAAAGGTGTTCCTTGGAGTGCAAAGGTGGAAATGATAAGAACTGTGCCCTCAGGAATTCTTTTTTCCCCACATTTTAGTTTTATTATTTCTTCATAAGAATATTTTTGAAGTATAACATTGGGTGAATTTAATGTGTACAGCAGGTTAATTTGCTACATTTATACACCTCAAGGGTACCAGCACTGTCTTTGTTTAAGGGAGTCATTTTCACTTCTAAATCTTTGTCTTATTGAGAATTTATCAAAGTGACTCTCTTCCTTAATTAGTATATTGCCTTCAAATTACAGTATTCTCCTTCTTCCCCAGAGCATCATTTGAAGATGACTTGTAAAGCAACTTTGGAAGCCAGTGCTGGGCAAATAATGCATTTTTTTTCTGTAATCTCTGAAATTTTTTTCTGTTAATATTGAAAATATTTATATAATTTTAAAGTTGGTGATAGTAAAGCCATAAGGTATTTGTACCATTTATCTACTAAAATTTATTTGCTCATAATATTCATATTGTACTCTCTTTTTCACAGATTATAAATCTCATCTGTACACTGCTTTAAGATTTTTGTTTTTCTTAAATTCTAGGTACTCATATCCTTTCTTTGGAAGTGCAGCTCCTATTATGACTAACCCTCCTGTAGAAGTTCGGAAAAACATGGAGGTTTTTCTTCCCCAATCTTACTGTGCATTCGATTTTGCAACTTTGCCTCATCAACTCCAGGATACCTTCCAAAGGTAATGTGTACATGATAGTATTTTTTTCAAATCAGCTCTCGAAAATTTGTATCTTATTGACAAGAGGAATTCCTTTACATGTCTAAATCCACAGCAGCTTATGCATTTGAGAATCTAGAAACAAACTTAACATCTGTGACACTTGTGCTTCCACTATAAGGTTTTATCAGTATTTGTTCATGAAGGCTTTTTTCAGATTTTCATATCTTGTTTGCCTGAGTTGGGATATTAGAACTTTATTAAAACAATATAGGAGTAATGAAGGCTCTTTGAAAAGTAATCTTGCTTTTTCCTATACAGTATGCGAAGATAAATACAGGCTGTTTAATTCTTGATGATTCATTTAATGACTGTAGTGCATTATTTGCTTTTTCTGGTTTTTTTAATCTGTATAAAATAGAGATGTTGTTCCAGCTATCTGAAATGGATTTGTGAAGAAAAATGAGATCTTTGAAATATCTTTTTACTTTCTTAGAGTATCACAATTCAAAAAGAATTTTAAAAGAGAAAAAAATAAACATTATGTAACCATTAGTGGAAATAGTGTTTGAAGTGTTTTCTTTATTGCATAGGAAGAGGTATAAAAAAAAAGTAATAATATTTTCTATCTGTTATTTGTAGAATTGAGCCTTTACATTCCAGGTAACGGAAACATGCTTGACTACATTAAAGGAATTCAAAATTTTTAGTCCAGAAAAGCCTTAGTTCACAGTTGATAAGTATGAACACGTGCTTCTCTTTTCCTTAGGATTCCATTGCTGGTTGAATTATGGCACAAGGATAAAATGAGTAAAGATTTACTTCTGGGAATCGCCAGAATCCAACTTTCTAACGTCTTGTCTTCAGAAAAAACTCGCTTTTTAGGTTCTAATGGTGAACAGTGTTGGCGACAAACTTACAGTGAAAGTGTGCCTATTATTGCAACCCAAGGGTAATGCCTTTCTTATATTTAGTCTTTGCTTTTTATTCTGTTCAGCTGGTTATAGCCTTGTCCTTTAATGTCATTTTTTTCGTCTTTTCTCTTTGACCCACGGGGGCTATGTCCCAGTTTGCTCGTTAGCTCTCTGACACCCAGTATGCCCTCACAGGATGACTCTGTGGCGCCACAATACTTAAGAGTGTTGAGTGAGCATTTCTCTCCCCTCTCTTTAGACTCATAATTTTAAGTTCGGAATCAGGCTTTTTTTTTAATTTAGTAATTCAAGTCACATTTATAATGTATTTTTACATTATTTTGAATTTTTCTACTTGAAAAATATGTAAACTTTTGCCTTAAATATAGTTGGTGAATGTTACAGATGTTTGCCTCTAAAAATGAAAGTGTGCCTATTATTGCAACCCAAGGGTAATGCCTTTCTTATATTTAGTCTTTGCTTTTTATTCTGTTCAGCTGGTTATAGCCTTGTCCTTCAATGTCATTTTTTTTGTCTTTTGTCTTTGACCCACGGGGGCTATGTCCCAGTTTGCTCGTTAGCTCTCTGACACCCAGTATGCCCTCACAGGGTGACTCTGTGGCACCACAGAGTGAGCATTTTCTCTCCCCTCTCTTTAGACTCATAATTTTAAGTTTGGGATCAGGCTTTTTTTTTAATTTAGTAATTCAAGTCACATTTATAATGTATTTTTACATTATTTTGAATTTTCCTACTTGAAAAATATGTAAACTTTTGCCTTAAATATAGTTGGTGAATGTTACAGATGTTTGCCTCTAAAAAATGAGTATTTTTTTTTTTTTTGCCCTGAAATTCACTGCCACAGTGAAAAACTGGAGTTCGTATATTTGAAATCATTCAACAATTATCTCTTTATATATCACCTGCCTTTATGTTTAAAGTGCAATAAGAATGTGGAAGAAAAGCAGGCCCAGTGAAAAGCTGAGATGTCTTAAGTATTATTGGAATTTCTTCCCTCACTGTTCCTTCTCCATGTCACTTCCAGAGACTGAAGGGTTTAATAAACTTTCTTATTTATTTGGAGGTATGGGAACAGTTTTTTTTAGAAAATCGGTTATTCTGGATAATTGAAAATTCTTTTAAAACTTAGCATTCTTTTCTGTTAGGTCAAGTAGAATATAATGAAAACAATCATTACTTGTTGGAAGTTATTCTAATGATGATTGCTTTGAATATTAACTTTTATTGACCTGCTGTGTAGACAAATTTTAAGAGATTTACTTAAGCGAAAACTTCAGAGATGATTCTGCTTCATTTTACTTTACTCATTTGTTCTAAATTCTGAGATGAGAAGAAGCAAATGTAAAAGTTGATTAATTAAGAGTTCTAATTGTGTGAATCCAATCCTTAAAGTTTTGATTTAAACAAAGCCACGTATTTTTGTTGCCAAAATTTTATTTTCCTTTAACATTTTGTTTTTTATTTAATGCCCCATGCAGTTCTGTGATATAGAGAGGTATTCATTACGATAAACATGTCATTATCCTGCTTCCAGGATTTAATCCTGAAGCAATGCTCATATTCAGCAAAAGATTTATGAACGAGAATGTTATAGTCCAAGAAAAGCAGAAAAAAAGAGTTCAGAATAATCTATATATAATTGAGTAGGGGAATTGTTATGTGTTTAAAATTTTACCAAATTCATTAGTATGTTTTACAGGCTTTAAAAGTTACATTTTTGAATTAGTGTTTGTCATTACACTGGAGAAAATGTTCCTGTATAAATGGAAAAATGGACAAAACTATGAATTTTAATATGCATGAGTACATGCATATCTACATAATCTAAAAAAGAAGAAAATGAAATTTTAGCACTATTTGTGGGCAGTGAGATTTAAAATTTCTCTTTTATACTTTTGAAGTTTTTCAAATAACCTACTACAGTTATAGGTAATTTTGTAGTGAATGTAGGTATGTACTTAATACTGTGTTTGTGACAAAATAAAATGACATATATAGAAGGTCTTGAAGTCTATAGAAGCTGCTGCACTTTGAGCAACAAGTGTCAGGAGCAAGGCTTGTTGCCTACTCAATGCTCTAGCCTTGGGGAAGTAAAAGGAAACATAGAAGTGTTTCCATGACGTTTTAAATATTTCTGATTTCATTTGTAGGTCAAATAACAGGATAGTAGATCTTTCTTACACAGTGACTTTAGAGGATTACGGACTAGTGAAGATGCGTGAGATTTTTGTCTCTGATTCATCTCAGGTATGTGTCACTGAATGTTATGAAATTATTCTTTAAAATGGACCTTATGTATGTATGTATGTGTGTGTGTTTGTTTCAATATGCTTTTTTTTTTTTAATTCACATCCTAGGGTTTATCTGCTGTACAACAAAAGCCATCTTCTGTTCCTCCAGCACCCTGTCCTTCAGAAATCCAGACAGAGCCTCGTGAAACCTTAGAATACAAAGCAGCACTTGAGCTAGAAATGTGGAAAGAGATGCAAGAAGACATTTTTGAAAATCAGGTTACCTTTTAAATGTTACTTAAAAAGTATTTTTGTCCAGTTTAGCGTATCTTTCCTCCTGCAACATAGGCTTTTCTAGGCTTTTCTTTCTTTTCCACAGGTACCTTATCTAGTCCCTTTGAATTCAAGAATTGCCTTATTCTTTAAAAGAAAGAAAACTAAGAATTAAAAAATATGCAGGGGACTTCCTTGGTGGTCAGGTAGCTAAGACCTCCTGCTCCCAGTGCAGAGGGCCCAGGTTCAGTCCCTAGTCAAGGAGCTAGATTCCCACATGCCACAGTTTAAGAGTTCACGTGCCTCAACTACAAAGATCCCACGTGCTGCGACTAAGACCTGGCAGAGCCAAATAAATAAGTATAAATATTTTAAAAGGTGAACTATCAAAAAATACTCAAAATGTGACCACTTTGCAGAAGCCATCCAGAAGGAGTCTTCTAAACTTTCTCCAAGTCAGAATTTAAGGACTTGAAGGTTTCTTTTAATTGCAGGATCTCATTTAGCATGCCCTCCTGGAAGCTGGAATCATCAGTTGTTAAATAAGAGAGGTACAAAACAACTTACTGTTAGCTTTATACTGTCCTGAAATACCCTCAGATTGGTATAACTCACATCAGGCATCCTCAGTTGTGTTTTAAATAGAATGTCTGAAAGAAATATCAGTGGTCAGTATTATTTAACTGAAAACAACTGTTATTTGAAATATTTACTTGTTTGAAATGTTTTTTTAAACTTAATTTTTCTTTCTTTTTCCTTCCTTTGGCAGCTAAAGCAGAAAGAACTGGCTCATATGCAAGCTCTTGCTGAGGAATGGAAGAAAAGAGACCGAGAGAGAGAGTCACTAGTAAACAAAAAGGTGGTGACTGTATAAAAATGGAAGGAGGAAAGATAGAGTATTAATGACAGTATCTTCTATAGACATAAAGATCTCTGGAATGAATAACTAAGCACACTGGTTATATATTGGCCTGGATAAAGTTAATGAATGGGTCAAGGGTAGAAAGAAGAGTTTTCACTATAAAGTGTTTTGTACTTCTTAGATTTTGAACCCTGCAAATATGTTACCAGTTCAAAAAGTGAATGAATATAAAAAACCTACTGTACCACACAGAGAACTCTATAAGTGCCCTGTGGTGACCTAAATGGGAAGGAAATCCAAAAGAGAGGGGAGATATGTGTATGTATAGCTGATTCACTGTACAGCGCAAACATTGTGAAGCAACTATATATCAATAAAAATTAATAAAGCAATCATATTCAAAACCAAAAAAAGTGAACACCCTAGAGAAACAGCCTATCTCTGTGTTTAAAAAGAAAATTAAACATTTAAGTTTATATAAATATTACATTATCATCTATTAGTTAATGAAAAGTACGCCAAACTTTTAAGCTGTTTTAAAAGACTGAATCATGAAATAAATCACATCTTTAAAAATGATAACATAAGACCATCTGATATTATTCCAGAAAGCCAAAATTTAATATTTATCTATTCATACTCAAGTTACTGAGTAAAACAACCTTGAAAATTAGACCTGTCTCAGACATTCCAAATTTAAGTCTCTAAAAATACTCTTACATTTGTGATTCATGAAAGGTCTATAAATGGGAGAAGACAAACTGTGGCAGGGGAGTTTGCTACACTAGACCAAGACACTGCCCAGTGTGTGGACTGGAAACTTCTTTAAAGTTGTTTCAGGTCTCTTCTCTGACTTTCAGCCATTTACATTTAATGTAGTTATTGATATGCTTGGGTTTAATTCTACTGTCTTGCTCTCAGTTTTCAATTTGTCGCACACATTTTTTGTTCCTTTTTCGCTCTTCTCCTGTTTTCTTTTGCAATTCGTTGGATTTTTTTTTTAAATGATTCCATTTTATTTTTTACAGTTGCTTTATTAGTAACATCTTTTGTTGTATTTTTTTAGTGATGGCTCTAGGGCTTATAGTATATATCTTTGTTGTTGTTTAGTTGCTCCGTCATGTCCGATTCTTTTGTGACCCCATGGGCTGAAGCCTGCCAGGCTCCTCTGTCCATGGGATTTCCCAGGCAAGAATACTGGAGGGGGTTGCCATTTCCTTCTCCAGGGGATCTTCCCAGCCCAGGGATCAAACCCACGTCTCCTGTCTTGGCAGGCGTATTCTTTGAGCCACCGGGAAAGCCCATGCGTCTTTATTTATCACAGTTTATCTTCAGATGATATAGCACATTTAGTTTTTAACACAATTTAATCTTTGAGCCATTTTTCTAATGTGATTGATGGGTATTTCATTGTTGATGTTTGTAACGTATGTAGAAGCAAAATAGTTGATGATAACACAAGGTGTGGAAGTGAGGATATAGACATACACTGTTATAAAGTTCTCATTCTACTTTGCTAGTTTAAGCAATCATCTCTTTTCTAGATTACTGTGTTTACTTCTTAACTTGGTACCCTGTCCTCTTTTCCTGGCCCCTGTTGTTTTTTAATACTCTTATCAGCCAAGAATAGAGGAAGTCAGATTATGTACTCCTCTGCTTAAAACCCATCCAACTGATCACATTTAGAATAAAACTCAAGAGTTCTTACCAGATCTACAAGGCCTTATGTGACCCATCCCCTCACTTCCTCTGTGACCTCATCTTCTGCCAGCCTTCAGTTCACAGAGTCTGTTCTAACCACGTTGACTTCTCTGTATTTCGTGCTGAGCCACTTCTCACCTCAGGATCTACAGGCTGCTTTTCTTTAGAGATACTTTCTGGTTTCTGCTCGGAGTAATCTGAGGGAGGCCTTCTCTGATCACTATATCCAAAATAGTGTCCTCTTCACCTGCCGCCAGGCACTAACCATCCCCTCGTTCTGGTTTGTTTCCTTCATAGCATTTCCCTACTATTACATTAAAGATTCACTTCTTTGATTATAGTTTGTTTTCCCTCCGAGTATATAGGTTCCACATGACTTTGTTTTGCCTGTTGTCTGCAAGGTTTACAGTTAACATTTGTTTAAAAGGATAATGATTTCGGGTTTTACATAGTTTTGAGTTGGAGATTTATGGGGAATGTTGGCATGTTCATCAGGTATTTGGGTTTACAGGTCTATAACTGTGGAGCGAGGTTTGACTTTGCGATACAAACTTGGGGTTTCTTTGTATATCTGATGGTATGTAGATAAGGTCACCCCAGGAAGTCACATAGTTTGAGAGAAGACATCCTGCGGCAGAATTCTGGGAACACAGATATTTGGGTTGTCAGAGGAAGCACATGTGGTTTGAATACTCTCACCTGCCTTCCTATGAGGCATTTTTACATGTGGCACTCAGAATTTTTTTAATGTAGTTTTAAATTAGTTTTTATTGGAGTACAGTGTTGTGTTAGTTTCTACTCTCCAGCACAGTGAATCAGCAATTACATACGTCCCCGCCCTTTTGGACTTCTTCCTCATCCCGGTCACCACAGGGCATTATAGAGTTCTCTGTGCCAGACGGTATGTTCTGCTTAGTTATCTATTTTATATTTAGTATCAATAGTATATATGTGTCAATCCCAATCCCAATCTCCCACCTCCTCCTATCCCCCTTCCCCCTTGGTATCCATATATTTGTTCTCTAGGTCTGTGTCTCTATTTTTGCTTTGGCAAAGTGGCACACAGAATTTGACACATTTGTATTAGTCATTTGCCTAAGATTTAGGCAAATTAAGATTTATTAATTTATTAATTAAGATTAAGATTAAATTAATTAAGATTAAAGTAAACCAAAAGTCAGTGGTAGAATTAACAGAATAAATAAATGATCTTGGTTGATTAGTATGTTGGGCTAAATAAAATACAGTTTAACAAGGACAGATGTCAAATTCTGTCATAGGAGTAAAACATTAACTTGGACAGTGGATATAGTTATTCCAGGTTTATAAATACAGACCTTGGGGATTTTCTTTGACATAACAAATGGTGTGATTAGGATCCTCAGATAGCAAATGCAGTTTTAGATGAACATCATAGACATGTGTTGACCTGGTCTCTGGCAGTGCACGTTCTTTAGTTTCTGAAAGAGTGAGATACATCTGGGTGCCATATTTGTGAAAGGACTTAGTTTAGAATAGAGACTCCAGATTAAGTCCAGCATACTAGAGGATGTGGAAATAATAACATGTGGACAATAGTTGAAGCTTGTGTTTGTCATGGAGAAGAAAAAAAGACTAGGAGGATATATGATGGCTGTTGCTAGAGTCAAATATGTGAAGGTACTTTTTTTCTTCTTCCCAAGGGAGAGAAACATGATTAAAGGGTGGGCTTCTAAGAAGCATCAAACCAGAGCTTTATTGGCAGTAGTAAAGAGAAAGCTAGGTTGGGGCCTGGGACCTGGTAAGGAGGACAGAAAGTTGGTTCAGAAAGTCCTGGTAAATATGATCAGTCTGAACTGAACCATGAGAGAGGGTCCTGTGGAAACCAAGCATCCATCATGGACTCACATCTTTAAAGACAGAGCAGAGCAGGACTTTAGGCATTGGGGTAGAATTTGGCATATCAAGTATGGGCCCATCAGGAACTCTAACTTTAGAAATGACTAAGAACTCAGTTATTTGAACTGCAATAAAGGACCAGGTCTGAACAATAGGAGGACTGACTTGAAACTGATTAGCTGGTCTATCAACAATATTAGTTCCAGAAAGAGAGCTAAATAAATAAATGAATAAGGAGGCTTCAAAAGAAAACTGGGCTGTTGAACAAGGTAGATTTTTAAGGAGATAGTTTTTTTTTTTTTTACTAAACAAAATTTTATTGGCCGTCTACCTTAGCACCCCATGGGCGAAGGGCTTCCTCCGGAGACTGAAAATTACTGCAGATACCCAAGCAGAGGCTAGGTCAGCTTCTTTCCTTAGAGTGTAGTAGAATGAATTTCTGCTTTGAATTGGTGAATATAATTCATGATTTTCCTATTCTCAGATCCTTTGTTTCAGTAAAATAATAATATATGCACTTTTAAATTTGTGTTTTGAATTTGGGGAAAAGATAAAAGTAATTTTTAACATCATAGACATGTGTTGACCTGGTCTCTGGCAGTGCACGTTCTTTAGTTTCTGAAAGAGTGAGATACATCTGGGTGCCATATTTGTGAAAGGACTTAGTTTAGAATAGAGACTCCAGATTAAGTCCAGCATACTAGAGGATGTGGAAATAATAACATGTGGACAATAGTTGAAGCTTGTGTTTGTCATGGAGAAGAAAAAAAGACTAGGAGGATATATGATGGCTGTTGCTAGAGTCAAATATGTGAAGGTACTTTTTTTCTTCTTCCCAAGGGAGAGAAACATGATTAAAGGGTGGGCTTCTAAGAAGCATCAAACCAGAGCTTTATTGGCAGTAGTAAAGAGAAAGCTAGGTTGGGGCCTGGGACCTGGTAAGGAGGACAGAAAGTTGGTTCAGAAAGTCCTGGTAAATATGATCAGTCTGAACTGAACCATGAGAGAGGGTCCTGTGGAAACCAAGCATCCATCATGGACTCACATCTTTAAAGACAGAGCAGAGCAGGACTTTAGGCATTGGGGTAGAATTTGGCATATCAAGTATGGGCCCATCAGGAACTCTAACTTTAGAAATGACTAAGAACTCAGTTATTTGAACTGCAATAAAGGACCAGGTCTGAACAATAGGAGGACTGACTTGAAACTGATTAGCTGGTCTATCAACAATATTAGTTCCAGAGAGAGAGCTAAATAAATAAATGAATAAGAAGGCTTCAAAAGAAAACTGGGCTGTTGAACAAGGTAGATTTTTAAGGAGATAGTTTTTTTTTTTTTTACTAAACAAAATTTTATTGGCCGTCTACCTTAGCACCCCATGGGCGAAGGGCTTCCTCCGGAGACTGAAAATTACTGCAGATACCCAAGCAGAGGCTAGGTCAGCTTCTTTCCTTAGAGTGTAGTAGAATGAATTTCTGCTTTGAATTGGTGAATATAATTCATGATTTTCCTATTCTCAGATCCTTTGTTTCAGTAAAATAATAATATATGCACTTTTAAATTTGTGTTTTGAATTTGGGGAAAAGATAAAAGTAATTTTTACTATATTTTAGGTGGCTGAATATACTATTCTCGAAGGAAAACTTCAAAAAACTCTAATTGACTTGGAGAAGCGAGAGCAGCAGCTTGCCATTGCTGAATCAGAGGTACTGTATTCATCTGTCGTATGTGTTTATTTCACAGAATCCATTTATTAAATAGATACTCATGAATTCATACTATTCATTTGTTTTGTCTTTGTATAAAATATATTTCATGGAAATTGTCTTTTAGGCATTATGGGGGAAACTGCTATTCAGCTGGGTAAAGCATATTTTTATATGTTAGAAGGTGAAGAAAAGGTAGAAAACTGTTGTTTAAAATGGTTAATTATTATTCAGTCAGCTTTGGCTGACTTCTGCAATAGTGGAGACTTTTGGTTACCTTTGCAATGATGTGAAAGGAATGGATAGTTGCACTACCTACAGAAAAGCATCAGGGGCCTAGAATTATGCTTTTGATTTCAGTAAGAAGGGAATATCCCTTTTTCTTGCCCATTAAAGATTATATCCCAAAGAAAGGATAAACATGTTAGTATTGGTTGGCCAAAAAGTTTGTTTGGGTTTTCCTGTAACATCTTGCAAAAAACTTGAATAAACTTTTTAACCAACCTAATACTGTGCCTAGTTAGCATTTTTGTTAGGTTTTATTGAATTTTACTTGATATACTTTTTAGCATTACTATAAAAGTCACTTCAAATTATTAGAATTTCTTCCACATGAAATTTATATGCCCATTCCTTGCCCAAATGTTTCTTAAAATTTTCTCGGTATATATAACTCAAACCTTCTGTAAATCCATGGCTGATTCATGTCAATGTATGGCAAAAACCACTACAATATTGTAAAGTAATTAGCCTCCAACTAATAAAAATAAATGGAAAAACTATTAATCATATTTATTGCACTGAGATTCAAATATAAGTTGAAACTTCTTTTCCTGAGTCAAAGCTAAGGACTATATTGGAATAATCTCTTATAATTATTTGCATGATCTGTGCTATATTTGAGTTAAATCTCAAATTAGAATTTTTCTTTCAGATAAATCTCCTCTTAACAAACATACTTTTCATATATGGCTGGACCAAGTTCAGTTAAGAACCAAATTTCATGAGAGAATTGTCTGTGCTCCTTCCCATTTTTCACCTCTCAACCACTTCTCCTCAAGTTTCTATCCCCATCGCCCCAGGCAGTTGTCAGAGAAACTACCAGTGGCTCAGCCGTTAAGTTCCGTGGGCATTTTTCATTTCTCATCTAAATCACACTTATCACCAGCATCAACACTGTTGTTTTTGCTTTTGTATATTCTCTTCTCTCAGTGCCACTCTCCTTGTTTTTCTCTACTTTCTGGCCATGGCTCAGGCTCTCTGAAAGCTTATTTTCCTTTATCTAGCCATTACATGTTGAACTACCTCCCAGCTCCAGACTTACACTGTGCTAAGCAATCTTATTCATGTCTGTAGTTTCAGAGACAGCCTGTATCTCTGGGACTTGCACATTTGTATCCCAGAACTTACCTTTGCAACCTGGACCCACTTATCTCATTGCCTTTTAGACATCTCTACTTGGGTGTCTTGGGCATTTAAAACTCAGCATGAGCCTCCTACCCATACTTGACCTTGCTGTAAGTGTTCTTTACTTCAGTGAGCAACCCCTGTGACCTGTTCTTCTGTTGCAGCCTAAGTGATATTTTTGAAGTTTGGGAATCATAACACTCTCTTCTAAAACCATTTAGGGTTGTCTTAATGCTCATAGAATAAAGATCAGAATTACTACCTTGCCCTACCAACCTTTGCATAGTTTGCACCCAGCCTACCTACCTCACCTCATCTCTCGCTGTTGCTGTATGGTCCTCTTCAGGTCCTCGGGCATACCATGCATGCTTCACCCTTTAGAATCTTTGTGTACGCTGCTTTTTCTTGGCCCAGTGAGCTATACTAATCTCTGTTTCCAGCTGAGGCATCACTTTCCCAGAGAAATCTTCCCTGACCCCTGCTGTCCAAGTCTAGGTCAAGTTCTTGTTATATGTTTTTTTGGAGTATTCTTCTCTTATTCTGTTTCTTTATGATATGTTATAGCAGTTTGCTTTTATTTTCATTAGTGTGATAATTTGATCAGTGTCAGATTGTTAGGTCAATAAAACTATTTTGGTTTCTATCTGTATGCCTGGAGCCCGGCCAGTCTTCAGCACATAATATGGGCTTAAAAAATATTTGCTGGGAAAAAAAAAAAAAAGGCTCAAGCTGTTAAAAATGAAGCTTATCTATCTTGAAAAATTTCAGTGTAGATTAGATATATATGATGAATGCCTCTGAAGTCTTTAGTAAATTCTGGCATGAAGAATAGTTTCCCTAGCAGTTCAGGGTCAGGTAAGACCATATTATTTAGGTGGTTATAAAGATAAATTCGATTGTTATTAGGACAGTCTCATGTAGATTTATGAAAGATAAAGTTGTAAAAGTGGGCAATTGTGCTGGGATTCTCCAGGATTGCTTCTCTTCTATGATTTATCAGGAAGATTGAGCCATCTAGAAAAAATGCTTCTAAGATATGTTAGAATCCCTAGGGGAGCTCTTGGAAAAAAAAAAAAAACATGGGCATTGCTACCCTGTCCCTACCCTACCTGAGGTATAATTAGCTTACATCTTTGTGGGAAGAATTAGTATTTTGGAAGAATTCCCCAGAGCACTCCTAAAATATAAGCTAAAACCTGTGGGAAAAAGTGGTAGAAAGCAGAAGTTTTGGGGATGCCCCATTACTAAATCCATGACTGTAAACATTTCCCCTCTTCTGTATTAGAAAACTTTGCAGGCCCTTACTCTGAACCAGGTTACATGTACTGTACACACAATTCTAACAAGACAGGTAGAAGGAACAGATAGACTATCAGTGCACAGTGATGAAGTATATACATTCAAATATGTAAAAGCAGTTATTAGAAGTGAAAAAAGCCAATGTAAATTGTGATCCACTTAGCAAAGGATAAAGAGCCCAGTATGCCTAATAGTAGACTGATAATGTGCCTGTCAAAAAATGCCAAATACTAAGTTTATTAGCTTTTGTTTTAAACAGAAAAATGACAGATTCTTTAGAGAAGTTTCTATTCAATTTTAAAAGTTTGCATGTTCAAAGAGGTAAGTTATATGGAAAACTTCCACGTATGGAATACTCATTACCTTAAGATGCTAGATAAATCCTGATTAGAATTATTGATAATTACTAGCATAAAATAAGAATTTATTGGTAATTTAAGTTCAATTTTTGCTACCAGTTTTCTCAGTATTTCACATTTAGTTAAGTCTTAGAGAAAAAAGTAATTGGTTTATCTAATGATGGCTAGTCATATTGGTATGTTTTTGGAAAGCTTCTTTAACAGTACTTGAAAGTGAAGGGAAAGTGTTAATCACTCAGTCGTGTCCGACTCTGTGACCCCAGGGACTGGAGCCCACCAGGCTCCTCTGTCCGTTGGATTTCCCAGACAAGCATACTGGAGTGGGTTGCCATGTCCTTCTCCAGGGGATCTTCCTGACCCAGGGATCAAACCCGGGTCTCCTGCATTGCAGACGGATTCTTTACCGTCTGGGCCACCAGGGAATCCCTGTGCTTACTTCCATTTGATTAAAAAAAAAAAATCCCAGATTTTGAAACAACACTTTTATTATCTTTTTTTCTCGATAGTTTTGAAACTGTTTTAAAGGAAATTACAGTGTTTAGTCAAGACAGTCTTTTTTTTTTTTTAATTTAAGGAAGTATTGCCTGCTTTCATTAGAGGATCATTCTAGGAGATGAAAATTTCTGAGTTCTGTTCGTATGTCTGCCACTTACTGGCTCTATGGCACTGCCTCAGTAATCCAGTTCTCTGACCCTCAGTTTTGTTACCTATAAATGTGAAGGGACTGAGCCAAGTCTTTAAGTTATAATCATATTGGAATTATGAAATTCATAGAGTATCAAATTATAAGAACAAAACTGCATTAAAATTAAACTTACTTTCATCAATAATCAGGTATACCTATAATGTTCAATCATTCATGACACATTTAAAAAAATTATTTCCAGTATTTTTATAATATTACTTTTCTGTCACCTAAAATTTAACAACAATGTTCTCAAGATACTGGTTTTATAAGAAATTTCATACTCTTAAAAAGTTTTTGTATATTGTTAATCAGTTGACTTATTGAATTTTTAAGATTACTAGAGCAGTTAACTTTCCTCATTATAGTTTATGTATTTTCTAAATTTTCTAAATATGAACATGCCTTAAAGATAAAATGACACTGTTGAATTCTGTAATACTACACTTTGCATACCTCTGTTTTAAAATGGCTATAATCTTTTTTTAATACAGCTTAATGATGCTGAAAATAAGTATAAGACTTTAGAAAAAGAGTTCCATCAGTTCAAAGATCAGCAAAGCAGCAAACCAGAAATTCGACTACAGTCTGAAATAAATCTTCTCACTTTGGAAAAGGTACCTGTGTTGGTTTATGGCATCCTAACTAGCCCTAATGATCATTTTATAAGATCAGTAAATGATACTTGCATATTTAGTGTAATAACATTTAACTGTAGTATTCTGATATCAAATAATACATCTCATCAAAGAATTTGATGCACAGGACACTGTCACTTGAATTTCATCGCTTTTTTTTTAATATCAATTATAGCCTATACTGGAGGCATTGATTGAAAACAGCAGAACTGAGTAAACTCTTGGACTAAAGGAATTCACAAACCCGTCAGGAAAGCTATAACAGCCAGGAGAAACTGAAGCTTTAAAAAAGGAGAGGATGGTTGGACCATAGAAATAAAATGTAGTCCTTGATATAACTATTTAAGAGGCAAAAAGGGTGTATATAGAAAATTTGGAGAGAAGAATAAGAATGTGGTTTAAAAACCTGAGTTGAAAAAGGGTATTAACTGATTTCTTCTAGCATTTCTGAGTTCATTAAATGTTTCTGGAGCTTGTCAAATGCCATGCTATCTTTGGTTCCTCTTCTTACCTCATATCTATTTAATTGCAAAGTTCTGCTTCTTACATATCTAGACACTCTCAGTCTTCTCCTCATTTCTTTACCAGTGACCTTGAATTTGAATCAATCTGGACATTTCCCACCCTTTTTGATTAACCCAAGTATTTAAAGTACTTCTGTTTTTGTATTATGAATTCTGTGGCCTACCAGAGATCTTTGAAGCATTCAGACAATATCTCATAAATTCTCACAAGCGCTATGAAGTAGGTGTCAGAAATATTTCCATTTTTACCTTGGGTAAATTCAGGACCAAATATCTCAAAATTGGAATAGAAATATTTATCTTATTCATCTTTTCTGAATTAAATTAGATAATATCCACCACAGAAATAAATGGTAAGTGATTTTTAAAATTCCTTCTTCCAACTGCATTTCTACCAATAGAATAGAAATCACCAAACATAGTACAAGTATAAATAGTACCATGAACTTGTTGAGGGAAAAAAAAAAGTGTAATTGAAGTGCCTTTATATCAGACCTAATGAATTCATCTACTGTTTTTAAATACCTTGTAAAACAAGACTTCTCAGCTCTTTTGAAAATTCTTTGTAAGAGCTTCTGGAGCCAGAAGAGGGCAGAATCTTATTTCTTAAGTAGTAAAGTCATATAAGCACAAAAAGGAAGGCTTAAGTGAAAAGTCCCTGATTTAGTCTGCAACTTCTAGTTATATCTGATTGAGAGCTTTTTCTTTTCTGTTTACTCATCTCTCCAGTGTAACGCAAATATTGCCATTCTTCACTGAAATGGTCTACAGATAAGTTAACATTAAGATTTTACTAAATTCACTTGTTGATTCCCTTTATAAGAAGTAAAAAATAGTTTGATTTGCTTTAAGCTAGGAAATGACTTTATGTGGCTTAAAAATAATTTGGACTTTTAAAAAATAAGATAGGGAAAGTGTTATAATTTAGTAGGGCATAAAGAAGAAGACAGAAGTTCTACAGAAGCTAAAATTGGTGTATTTAAGAGCATTTGGTAAGTTCCTATTGTGTGCCCACCCCTGACTTAAGAAAGAGAGGAAAATGAGAGAAAAGAAAAGAATAAGAGGGAAAGTTGTTATCCTTTTGAAAGGGACCTCACTTTTAAAGAGTTTGTAACCTAATTGGGGAGATAACCCAGAGAGGCTTAAATGATTGTATATAATTAAATACCAGGGAATGTGATAGAAACTCTTTGCAACTCAGAAAGAAGAAATCATTTGATGTTCAGAATATAGTAGTTTTAAGGCATCTCCATGTAGAGGTAGAATTTGAGCTGAACCTTAAGTTTTAAGCAAGCAATGAAGCAAAAAAATGGACAGGTTCAGGAATTAACTTGGACTAGGAGATGGAGGGGGACAAAACTGGTGGTTGGTATTTCATATTGAGCACCAAGAAAGCTGAACAAGGATGGAAATTGTGTTTTGGTGCTTTAACACCTAGGCAGAGGAGTTTAGGTTCAATACTTGCCAGGAGGCAAGTGTTTAGTAGCTATTGTAGATGCTTTAGTAGAGAGTGAATTGATGTAATCGTGGCTTGCAGGATTTGTAGCTAGAATACATTTAAGGCTGAGGAGACAAGAGAAGATGAGATGAGCCTGAACTTAGGAAATGGTAGTAAGAATACAAAAGAATAAAACTGGAAAATATTTCAAGGGAGAAATCTGTAGTCTCTTATGACAGATTGGACCTGGAGAATAGAAGATTAGAGGCAGAGACAGTGCCATGCCAACAGTAGAGAATTAGGAGTTGTGGATGTATCAAGGATGGAAACAGGGACATTAAAATCAGTGGAAGTCTGCTTGGTCTTCACTAGGCCCTGAATTGATGCTAGGTGCTGAGCCGAATTTTATTTTCAGTCTGTAACTTGGCTTATAATTTAAGTGCAAAAAAGGTTTCAAGTCTCATATCTACTACCCACAAAAAGGGCCCTTAACTCGAGGTCTTTGAATGTCCTGAAATTGTGTCAGAACTTTGGTTGTGTACATTTTTCTGGGAATTGGGTGTGTTTATTAATTAGAATCACAGAGGCATTTGTATCATTAAAAAAAGTTAGGAATCACTGATTTGATAGTTTGGGATGAATTAGGAAAATGATGTTTACATCTCAGATTTGTTAGCTATCACTTTTTTGTTGTTTGTTAAGAATAAAGAAATTATATGTTTTTATTATATATGTGTTTTAAATTAGTGTGAATAACAATGCAAATATGAATTATTTTGATAATCATGGAAAAATGTATGTAACCCCCTTTCTGATGGAGTCAGTTTAGTGGGTATAAATGATCTTTCTAATTGTCCTAACCCTCATCCTGGGGCTTGTCCAGGACACTATACTTTCTCCAAGATGGAGGGACATGGTCACTTTTATAATTGAATACTATTCTTGTATCTCACAGTTATAAACAGATTTTTGCTTTTCCTCTGACATATGTCCAGTTGTTAAATTACCAATTGTTATATAATTATACTGGACAGTTGTTATATGTCCAGTTAAGTAATAGGAATAAATCTTTGGGGGCATAAGTGGAAGAGATCATATTTGATAATCTCAGAATATTATTCAGCTTAAGACGTATGAGTCTAGTTGTGAAATGTCAACACATTTAAATCCAAGCTCTAGGGATTTGTAAAGCAGCTAAAACCTTGACTCCATGAAGTCATATATTACTGCAGAGAACGTTCTGGTCTTTTGTGAAGGGGTTTTGGCAATCTACTTTTCCTTTCATTGTTATTTCCTCCTGAGTTTTCTGAAGTTTGAATATTTGGATAGTGTCTTCGATTTTATTTTTCTGCAAAACATTAGGAGTTGTGTGTATGGGAAAAACTAGAATCGATATTCAAAAACTACAGCAGTTAAGATGAACAGTATGTTACTGTAATTCAGCCATATTATCACCTTATCACTTCAATAGTAAAACTGTCTGTTGGCTGCATGAATTTGTTTGGTACTTGGTTTGAAACTTTGAGAGAGTACATTCCAAGAGCTAGCCAAGTTGGCTTCAGTTCATGCACAACAGATTGCCTGCTGCAAGTATAAATAACTGTATTTTAAAAATTGAATCTCTTTCGTGTTTCTCTTCATGTGTTTGAGGAAAAATAGAAAATAAAAGTTAGATGAGTGTTTTTAGGAGCATTATTTTTCTTACTTGGGTTTAACATTCTTAAAATATTTTTGACTTTGTAGTCTTACTAAACCGCTTTCTGATAAAACAGTTCTCTGTTCTCAGAATTCTGTGATTTTTGCCAAAATGAGTTATAAAAGTATCTCTACAAGCTCTCTTCACTGTAAGACAAAATTCCACATAATGATAGGTCTCCAAAAGGAGTAATCTGGTTTCAGGGTCGAGAGTGTCAGCTAAATTGGAATGCTAACAACTGCTTTTTGTAAAAAAACAACCCCCAAAAATGTGTTTTTTTACTCTATGATCTTTGTTATATGTTTTAAATACATTTATAGTAACTGTCTGGAGGTTAAGACTGATTCAGTTCCTTTTAGTATAGGCTGTTAGGCAGTAAAAATACGACTATATTTTAAACAAGAAAATGTTCACGTGCCATAATATTTATAGTAAATTATATAACAGTTTTAGATGATGTCGTATGTTACACTATATAAACTCTTTTCTTAAGCCAGACTCCTTGTATATATTATCTTTCAGTGATTGTACACAGTGGTATAGTGTTTCACTTGATATGATTTTAATCACTGTTAGGTTGAACTTGAAAGAAAGTTGGAATCCGCAACCAAGTCTAAACTGCATTACAAGCAGCAGTGGGGACGAGCTTTGAAAGAACTTGCCAGACTTAAACAGGTATGTAGTTTATAGCTGATGATGGATTATTCTTTATATGCCATTTTCCCTTGATTCTTTACAAGTTTGCATATGTGGCAATATCTGTTATGTTCAGATGTCCATATTTGAGTCTCCAGTTCTATATTTGAGATTAGGGCCTTTTTTTTTAAATGCATTATATATAAGATCTTCCTTTCCTTAATTAAAAACTGAAACGTATAGGTCTTTTTTTTTTTTTTTCTCCTTAATTGCAACTATCCTCTGACTCACAGAAAACTGGGAATAATTTCTTCTACTTATAAAACTACCATCCTTTTCTCCCTAGTATTAATTTCCTTCTATTGGGAGTGCCTTTTGGAGGGAGAACTTTAAGAACATACTTTTAAATGTTACCTCCTAGGAAGACATAGTAATTTCTTCATCAAGAAAAGGAATCACGGGGTAGTTCTGCATAATTTTATAAGAATTTAAAGTGATAGTACTTTCCTGAATTCTTTGTTACTTTTTTTTTCCCCCTTCCTGATACTGGGTGACAATTGCTATTAGCTTTATGAGAAATTTTAATTTTGGGTATAATTTCTTCAAATTATTAAGATCAAATAAAATATGAACAAGATTTTCATTTTGAAATTAGTGGTTAGTTTATTCTAAGTTTTGCTTTTGTTAAATGTGTCCATTTAAATTCTGAATGAAATTTGGTACATAGGGTCTCTTAGATTTGTTTTTTTTTAAATGTGTCTCCCAGACCACCAAATGTTATTAAACATCTTTATGGTATTGTTCTAAATGCATACCAGTGTCATAGAAGAGTATTTACTAGACTGCCTGAGAATAGCACAGTTTGCCTTAACATAGCTTGTAGATGAATTGAGATTGTAAGCATAAAATAATATTACACACAGTGAATATGTTTTATAAATGCTCACAAGACTAAGGATAATCATATATAGTATCAGGGCCTGTGTTCAAGGCACTGCCCTAGATTTATAGATACAAGTCAAACATAGGTCTTTGTCTCAGGGAGCTTGCCATTTAGTAGTAGGGCAGCAAACTGACATTTACTGCCTAATAGTAAGAGCCCTGAAAAGAACTGTACAGAGTACTCAAGAGAGGAAGTGCTTTATTTAGTAGAACTTAGAAAAGGCGTCATAGAAGATGGGGTGTTTGAGATGGAGCTCTGGAGAATTGCTTGTGGTTTAGAGAAGTTGTTGGGCGGCGGGAGAAGTGTTGTAAATACAATGAATAGAGTGATTATAGTAAAGAGGCATAAAGTCAGAAAGCATAGACTTCATGGACAACAGAGGAGGTCCCATTTTAAAGGTCATTTCAGGAAGTAGGGCTTAGAACTTAAGTGGTAGCAGTGAGAACGTGACAAAGGTTATTTTAAAAGATGTGATTTTGGTAGATGCTATATAGGACACTATACCTAATCAGATGCAGAGTGGAAAGTCAAAGATGATGTCAAGTGTTCAAGCCTCAGTGTCCAGAAAGAGAGTTTTCCAATAGTGGAATTATGGTTATTAAGACAAGAAGCTGATTGAGGCATGGGAAGAAGATAGGACATGCAGATTTGAACATTTTAATTTTTACAGAAAGAAATTCAGTAATCAGAAATACGGACTGATATGTGGAGGATGTTTGAGCTTAAGGATAGATGAAGGAATCCTTTGCCGAGATGATAACTGAAGATGTAGATAGAACTTAGAATGCTTATATTTAAGGAGGAGGAAGGAAAGCTGATGTCTCAGGTACTGTGCTAAGCCCTTCATATCTTTTCATTTGCCACTAAACAAGATCCTATATGGCCTTCCCTGGTGGCCCAGTGGTAAAGAATCCTGCCTGCCAATGCAGGAGATGTGGATTCAATCCCTATGTCAGAAAGATCACCGGGAGAAGGAAATGGCAACCCACTCCAGTGGGAAATCCCACAAATAAGAGGAGCCTGGCAGGCTGCAGTCCATGGGGTCACAAAAGAGTCGGACACAACTGTAAACAACAAGACCCTCCCCCTATAGAGCAGGGACTATTTCCATTTTATGGATGAAAGAAACAGAGAAGTTAAGTTGCACATGATCACACAGATACTAAGTGGTAAGAGTGAGGATAGAATCATGTAACTGAGCATACACTCACGCTCTTTCCCCTTTCCAGTGTTACAGCTTAATTCCATAGAACCCACATAAAGTATTTCAGAGTGAGCCGTGGAAAACATTAGGGATCTCTGCCTGAGTACTGAAGCAGAAGAAGTAATGATTTGGCTTATGATAAGCAAGGAAAATGCCATCATTGACTGTTAGATAGACCAGCTCTGGAAATGAGAAATTAAAGTGACTTTGAAAGAGAAGAAGCTAATATGAAGTCATGATGCCAAGACATTGAAGTTCCCTTTAGTTCCATAGGGAAGAGTCCCCATGGAACTGGGAGCAAGGGGATAATGTGATGAGAGTGGCTATTAAAAATAACAGAATAACAACTTCTGTCAGAGGCAGCAGACATAGTAGTTTAGAACATGGTCTTGGTGTCAAGAGAGCCAAATTGAATCTTGGCTGTTAATAACTCTCGACTTGGGGAATTTAATTTCTCTGATTAGTCCCTTTATTTGTACAATGAAAAATCTTTCCTCGAGGTTGTCTGAGAATTGCTGAGTGGCCTGTAAAGCAGTATTAGCGTCTGGTACTTTGTCTGTGCTCAGTAAAGGGTAACTCGTGAAAAGGACATGAGCCATAATGCTGTGGGGTAGTGTTCTTGGTTTCAGCGGGCGAGGACCTCGTGAGATGGTAGCTTCGTGTATTGAGGAACAGAACCAATATTAGAAAGACTTGTGACTGACTAGCTGAAAGATAATGGCAGCAACAAAAATTTGAAAAGTTTTAAGTCTAGAAAATAAGATGTTGCTGTATGTAATAGCTGTAGGGAAGTGGGGTTCGGGATAGTTTGAGTAAGAATAGTACTTTGGATGATAGTTTAAGGTAGATGTTTTGTAGAGACTGACAGGAGAGAAACCTACATAAGGGCCAATTGTGCAGTAGTGTCAGTCAGCAGGTGCAAAGAGGTGAGTGTGTTAAGTCTGGAGAATCATTTAGAGTTGTTTTATGTGTTCATTCTTTAGCACGTACTTATCAGGAGCCTGCTGTGTGCCTTGAACAGTGGAGGGTGCTCAGTTCTGGAAGAGAGAGCAGTTCTCTTCCACAGGAAGGTGCAGCTGGGAGGGCTGACACTTAACAGGAATATGGCAGGGTTGTGAGAAATGCAAATGAAGTTAGCAAAACTAACAAAATAAGTATTAGACAAACACGAGGACTGTGGGGTTCTCGTTTGGTTTTGTCATTCAGAGCTAAAGGAGAAATATGGTTCAAACCCAATGTTTCTAATATCAGTGTTAGAAAAAGGGATCCAAATTGGAGAAGAAGTGAAACTGTCACCGTGTGCGGTTGACATGATCTGACACAGAAAATCCTAAGGGTGCTACAGAAAACTGCTGGAGCTCTTCATTTTAAAAACAATAGTTAGAAATTGGTAAAAACAAAAAATAGCAGCATTAGATATGAAGTCACTTTAAGTTTAACAATAAAGAGCAGGTAGGAAAGAAGTGGAAGACAATGCCTATCTCTGAAGAAGTTTATGCAACTTATGAAGGATAAGAGACTAATGCAGTGGTAAATACTTATAGGGCATTACCAAAATCAGTAATGAAAAGATGGAAACCTGTTAGCTGTTGATTAGGGTGTTTCTTCTGGAGAACTTAGGAATTATCAGAGCATAATTTCATTATAATTGTCACATTTCTCACTAAGAAATACCCATGCAAGAACAGTGAGTAAGTAAATTGATTTTTAAGTTATGTTCATATGTGTATATTGATGGAGGACATTGTTTTCACATTGTTTGAGGTAGTTTTTAAAATGTAAAAAATAATGTTTTGAATATAAACCCCCCAGTTCATGAACTGAAACTGGCTCTTAAAGCTTCAATTTAAAATGCTTCCACCCAAGCACCCCCTCCTTCTAACATAAGCATTCTCATATACTTTTGCTATCTTCTTGGTTTTTCCTTTAATTCTTTGTTTTCTGTTTACCCTTTTTTCCTATGGTTTTTCCTACCCTCTTGCCTAAAAACCATTAGCATAGTAGTTTTAGCTATTTGTACCTAATAACAGAAGACATCACAAAAGTTCAGATGCGTCTTTTAAGTTTCTATAAGTGAATTAAGGAGAAAAAACTTTGTTAAATTACTGATTCAACTCCAGACGTCTGCTTCATGAAAGAAAATAGTCTCAAATTCTTTGAGTGCAGTAAGCTTCCTTGCAGACCACTGCTATTCCTTATCCCGCAGACTTTCTGCATTAGAAACAGCACTGCAAACTGATTTTAGGGTCACTAGGAATTGCTGATGTTCTACAGGCCACGTTTGAGAGATGCAGCACTTTAAAAATGTAATAGACCTTGAGATTGCCATAGTGAACTGCGCTCTGCCACTAACTCTTTTTGGAAGATTAAAATTAATTACTTCATCAAATAGGCACAATTTATATGTGTGAAAATTACTTCAGTTTTTTTCCTAAAACTTTTTATTAAAAACACATTGTGTTTGAATATAAAATTGGAATCCTCTATCTGCTTTTGTTCAGAGGATTGTTTGTGCAACTTCTTGTTTAAATTGGATTAGTACCATGTTAATTTTACATTGCCTCTGGTGAATAGCCACGGGGCTATAGTCTCTGCCAGTAATTTGTCACAGCAAAATCCTCTGGAGGGCAGTACAAAACATTTGTGTAGTGCGGATTAGACGGCGAAAGCCGTATCTTAGATTGTTAATAAATGTTAATGACAAAACCCAGCTGGTAAAGCTTGGAAGTAAGACCTAATGCTCGGTGCCTATTGCCAAAAGAATGTTTAAACAGAGATTTCCATTACTCAAAGGTGACCTCGTATAGTCAATTGGTGAATTTAAAAAATCATAATCTTCCAGTTATTTAGAAAAAAAATCTTTTCTTCTGATTCATAAGTATAAAAGCCTGTGTTTTTTCATGTTGTAAACTTTTTTGTTCTTGGGTAACTGGGTAGGCAACAGCTGTAAAATATAAATAAGTGTAACTTGAAATGGGTTCTAACTTAGAAGACAAGGAAATGATGCCCGTACATTCTGGATTTGCTATCTTTGGTATGATGTATAACACTGACTTTGAAGAATTCTAGTCAGACACTTAGGGGGTAATTTAGTTTCCTTCCCCACCCCCCCCAATTGTAAGTTAAGATTGTTACTTTACTGTGTCCTAAGTGCCATATTTACTTAAAAACATTTCTTGACACATTAGAATATAGTTATGGAGGAAGAATAATAGCCACTACATTTTAAAAACAAATGAATCATCATTAAGAGATATGAATTTGTTGTTCTGGGCAATTTAACATTTTCATCATGTCTGATGCATTAAAACTAGGTATGTTTGTTCACAGGACAGGAAACAGAACTAAGATTTGGGTAGGACGTGGGCCCCTTACCATATTTGTGCACAGTAGATCTGTTTAAAACTGAGCTGATATATTTAGTTAAAACAACACAGACTTCATTGGCTGACATCAGCACTATCTTGTCCAGCCTCCTGCTTATCCACTCAGAGTAATTAATTTGATTAATTTATAAGTAATTTAGCCAAGGATGGGATGTAAATCTTTGTTTAAGAAAACAGTTGGAGGTCCAAGTCTTGGTTAAAAACTGTGTCTTGAAACCATCCAGGCCCTCCTACTGACTTGTCAGCTCTGGGTTATTTTCAGAAAACTTGACTTGAGTTCCTTAGTTTAGTTGTAAGTTTTTTCCCACAGACTTACATGGTATGTGTGAGTGGGAGAGTAAGTAGTGGCCACGTTTTAGCCGCTGTTTAGTCTAGTGTATGTATGTTTACATCTCCTCTCTGGATTTATAGGCAGCCAAGGCAAAATAAAGATTATACTCACTTGATTGAGGAGCCTTTAACCCAGAGCACCTGGCAGCAGAGGGGTTCCTTCCTCGAACCTCTAATTTGTGCGTGTGCGATTATTATTGATGCTGTGCGCCGGATTAAACATCCAGGGCCGTTCAAGGCTTTTCTTATGGTTTAGAATTAAAGTGTTTCAAGTCTTACAATGTTACACTTTTACAAAGTAACCTAAAATTAAATCATTGACCTTTCCCCCCCTGTTTGCAATTATATCTGCTCACTGTAAAAGAAAAAAAAAGTCCACATTTTTTGCAGCATAACGTACATGAAAGTCACTAGTAACCTTATCACCTCTTCAGCCAGATGTAACAATCCAGTGTGTTTTTTGTCTGGATTTCTTTTCCTTTATTTTCTTAATAATTACTTTTGAAATGAAACACGTTACATGTTCCAAAAAGGGAATCAAAGATTCTTCTGCTCCTCAACCCCCACCTTCTAGTTTAAGAAACAGCATTATCAGTGCCCCATGCGCCTGTTCTCACCTGCATCCTCTCCACAGGTAACTGCTTTGCTGACTGTGGTATTTATTATTCCTTTGCTATTTTTTTAATAAGATTAGAAAGATACTAAAAATATTGGTAAATAACACTATTTACTTTTGTATGTCTTTAAACTTTATATACACGGAAATACTCTGAATCATTCTGTGACTGCCTAGTGTGATTCAAAATGGATTTTTGTGATTTAACTATTTTGATGTAGTAGCCTGATTTTATTTTTACTGGTTTACACACCTTAAACATATAGTAAGACAACACTGAAAAATTTTTTACATGTGAGCATTCTGTTTCTGTCTAAAAGTGGAACTTCTGGGTAGTAGGCTTTGCTCATTTCTTCTTCACTAAATGTTGCCAAATTACTTTCCGAAGTGGTTGTACAAGCCTGCAGTTCCCAAGAGGGGTGTGTGATTGTTATTCTTCACACCATGTCGAACACGTGGCTGTTATCAGATGTATAAATTTTTTCCAGTTTGGTGGGTGTGAAGTGGTCTCGCTCTGTGGTTTACCTGTTTATTTCCCTGATTATTAGACTTGCATGTAGAATGCCTTTTTGTTTTTTGCTCAGTATAAATCAACAGATTTTGGAATCACCAGACAGAAAGTTAGAAATAACTGCCAGAAAATAAGCGATATGATAGAGAAATGTATTAGAGAAGTGGAACCTTTTCAGTCATATAGACATCCTGGAACTGAAAAGTTTTACAATGGAATTGTGAATTCATTAGATGAATTAATAGCAGAACCAAGAATATGTGAGCTGAATATAAACCAATAAAAAGTATCCAAACTGGAAGAGAAAAAAGGATAGAAAATGCAGCATAGAACATGTGACACACAGGATAGGTAACCCCAGGCCTCCCCTCTTAGGCTGTTTGGGCTGCTGTGATAAAATAGCACAGACTGGATGGCTTATAAACATCAGAAATTTGTTTCTCACATTTCTGGAGGTTGAAGTCTGAGATCAAAGTGTACACACAGTCAGCTTCTCTGTCTGGAAAGGATCCACTTCCTAGTTTATAAATAGCCATCTTTCTACTGGGGAACTCTACTGAGGTTCTTTTTTTAATTAAAATAGTCAAACAACTAGAACTCATCAATGGATTTGGTCAAGTTGCAGGCTGCAAAATTAATACACATAAATCTGTTGCATTCCTATACACTAACAAAGAAAGATAAGAAAAAGAAATTACGGAAACAGCCCCATTTACCATTGCATCAGAAAGAATAAAATACCTAGAAATAAACCTAGTTAAGAAGGCAAAAGACCCATACTCTGAAAACTGTAAGTACTTTTCATCAGTGTAAAAGAATGAAAGAAATCAAAGATGACACAAACAGATGGAAAGATGTACCATGTTCTTGGATTGGAAGAAACATATTGTGAAAGTGACTATACTACCTAAAGCAAGCTGCAGATTCAATGCTGTTCCTATTATATTGCACAAACTGTTTCAGAAACTAGGAAGAGAGAATAATTCTCACTTAAAAACAATGACACCACCATTCTCTTCATTCTAAAATCTGACAAGGATGTTATAATAATATTAACTGATCAGTCAATCTCATGAACATACATATAAAGCTTGTAAGTAGCACAACTAAATTTATTTATTAAACAAAGGGGAAGTTGACTGTCACCTTAAAAAATGAAGAAATCAAATGCTCTTATCAAAAATGCAGAAAGTCAGTACCCATTCATAGTAACAATGTAGAAAGGTTCATGAGATCACTATATTAGATGACAGGATGTCTTACTGCAGCATTCTAAAATGTCTGTTACTGAGAGAGTGGTTGACTAATCATGGAATATCCATTCTGTGGAATGTTACACATTTATATGAAAGAAATTTTCTGTGCATAGATTTTTTGAGAGTCTGAAGAGTGGAAAGGCATATTATTTCTTGAGATAGGAGTGGAATTAATTACTAGTACAGGGGCAGTTATTGAATTTTTCTTGGTAACTCTGTATTTTATATAGTTACTTTGTATACTTTATCATTGTAATTTCTTATATAATTTTATATAATTAACCTATTTCTTAGATGCTACTCTTACCATTGCTCTTGTGGCAACTTACTGTGTTGACAGGAGACTCTTTCTTGCCCTTAACTTCTGTTAACTTACATTCAACTAACCTCAATCACTGATTGGAACATGAGTGGTTATGGCTTATAACAGGAAGGGAAGTCATGGAAAAGTTTGTAAAGAGAACACAGACATTTCTAGATAATATGTGTCCCCAGAATCTGCTGTGTATGGCTATATCATGGGTACAGTCAAGGAGGGTTATAATCACAGATCACAGTCATATAAGTATATGTGTTCCTAACATGAGAGATCTGGCTTGTTTCTTTCAAGCGAGAGCAAGAAAGTCAAATGGCTCGTCTCAAAAAACAGCAGGAAGAATTGGAACAGATGAGACTCCGTTACCTGGCCGCTGAGGAAAAAGATACAGTAAAAACTGAGAGACAAGAATTGTTGGATATAAGAAATGAACTGAACAGGTATAATGACTAAAAAATTACTTCCTTTTCCATACAAAAACTTAAGTTCAAATAGGACAACTTTTTATTTATTCATTGGTCCAAGGAGAGTACACCATCAAAAGTCTAAGAATAGGGACATCATTTCTAAAATGTAGCTGTTATATAATAGAAAATCTTTGCCAAAGACCATTACTCTCACATTTTTTTTTTTTGCCATGAATGTAGCTCTGTTTAGCTTTTTTGATCCATAGCATTAGTACTTTAAATTTTATTCCTGTGTGACTATTTCAGATTTATTGCAACTATTTCAAGGTAATTAATGATAATGAATTTAATTATATAAAGTATAACAAATTTAAAATATTGTTATATTATTTATATAAATAATAGATCAGCTCTTAATTATTGCCCTTACTGTGTATCAGCAGCTATTTTAAATATCTCATATGCCTATCTCCACTGTTTTTTTTTTTAAACTCTGCAAAGCAACTTTTTGAGGAAGATAATTAATCCCATTTGGAGATGAGGAAACTGAGGACTAGAGAGATTTAAGTACCCCTTCCAAGGTCACACAGCTAGTAAGTCAGGGGGCCAGAGTTCAGATCTGATGCCAGAGGTTGTATTTGTAACTACTCTGCAACACCGGGCTTCTCTGTAGTGTCATGGTACTCTTAGTTACTCTTTTAAGTATTTCATGTTAGGAAGCAATGTTAGAACAACCTGTGTCTTTTTGGAGGAGAATGTAGGGGAAGACAGAGTTTATCAGGAGACTAGTATTTTGTGGCAGCGAAGCATACTGTCTTAGCTCGGCTAGCATAACAAAATACCATAGATGGGCTTAAACAACAGAAATTTATTTTCTCACAGCTCTGGAGGCTAAAAATTCCAGATCAAAGCGTCAACACAGTTAGTTTCTGGTAAGGACTCTCTTCCTAGTTTGTAGACAGCTGCCTGACCACTTGTCCTCACAAACTCTCCTGTGTCTCCTGTAGGAAGTGCACAAATTTCATCATGATGGCCCCTGGCTCATGATCTCATCTGAACCTAATTCTCTTTCAAAGGCTCCATCACCAGACACCATCGCACTGGGGGTTGCATCATATTCATTCAGCATGTGAATGTGGGGAAGGCCCAATTCCGGACATAGGACATGCATTTAACAGACGACCCTGTGATACATCCCTACACAGACTGGGGAAGCTCAGTCACTGTATCCAGTGGGTTTGGAGCTGAATTACACAAATGCATTTAGAATATTAATGTATAAATATCAGTTGGAAAAAGGTCAAGGTCTTTAGTACATGCTACAGGGCTCAGTTCACTCTGTTAGTCTCTTAATTCAGCAAATACTTATTTGGTGTCAACTGTGTCACAGATCTGGAAGATGTTACGAATTAATTTTAACATGCCCCTTGCTTCCAAAATTTTCCTATTGTATTTAGCAGTTTAGTTTAGCAAATACATATTAAGCCACTACTCTTTGCTCAGCACTGTTTTGGTGGTTTAAATGAAGATAGCCATGTGCCTGTCATATGGATAGGTCATATGAAATTAAATCATCTTATTAATCATCCCCATGTATTGCTCCATTTTACCAGTGTCCCGTTAATCACTTGATTTCCTCCCGAGTCCCAAGGCACAGGGCCCTATTTGTTATTTCCTTTCTTAGAACAGATGGAGGTTTTTGGTGTCCTGTTTGGACTGTACACCTCAGTTTCTTATTCTTTTGTGAGGGATCATAGGAGTTAGTTCAGGTTTCAAAGAGTCATATGAACAAACAAAACCATGCACTGCCACTGATCCTGCACCCTTTCTGGGGTCCGGCAGAACTCTTCCTGGCTCTTCCTCTCCCCCACGCCATATGTAATCTCAGAACTGGTTCTCATGGGCTTACTTACTGTGAAGGCCATCTAGAAGCAGGGACTTAGATTCAGCTGTTTTTTATCTTTTTTATAAAGACAAAAGTCAGGAATAATTGCAAATTAAAATATTTTTGTAGCTTGTTACTTAGAGAAGTATAAATTTGTATCTTAGTTGTAGATTCCAAATCAAATCAAACCCTACTCTATGTCCAGACTAACTTAGTATACTTACTAAGTGATAGTAATGCCAGGTATACTCCCCATTTTCAAGGTAATGTGATTGATAATATTCCATTGGAAATAACCCAGATCCCAGGCTGGCACCTGCTCCCCTTTCTTCATCTTTGAGATAAGATCATCATAAATGTAACTTGAAGCTATCCATAACTTAATATCCTTTTAAACTCTTAAAAGGTACACACCCTAGATTCAAGCATTCATATCTATAGAATATCACTTTCTACAAATAATATTTATATAACCTCCATAATAACAGAAACTTCTTGATTTGACACAGTATCCCCCAAACCTAGCACCTTTTGGTATGAGTAAATATTTGTGGGATAAAGTTAGAAGAAAATGATGTTCAAGAAACAATAACAAGGGCTTAATAACAACCTAAATATCAATAATGATGATATAGGAAAATATTCATTATATTAATAATAGTGAAAATATATTGGTAATTGTACAGAATTGCATATATACAATTGCTTTTTAGATAACTGTTTAAAATGCATTTTTTAATTGAGAAGAGATATAGAAAATTACTTAGATTGCTTATCTCTGTTTAAGATGATTTTTTTTCCCTGCATACTCCCAAAATTTCTACAGTTTTCATGTATTTTATGCAAATATTGGTTTTTAAAACTGTCTTTTATAAGTGTGCTAACTCTAGCTAGCCAAGTAGGTTTTTGTTTTCTGCCTGAAAATATTACTGAAAATGTATTTTACCATTGAGTCATTTTGTTGTTAACTGGCAGTACTAACTAAAAACCAAAACAGTGTGTGTTGCCTGCTCGAGTGGCCTGTGTTCTTGACTTCTCAGGTTAAGGCAACAAGAACAAAAACAGTACCCGGATTCCAGAGAGATTGCAAGTGGAAAAATGGATGGCCCCCATGGCAGTGCATTGGAAGAAGGTCTGGATGATTATTTGACTCGCCTAATAGAAGAAAGGGATACTTTGATGAGGACGGGTGTGTATAATCACGAGGATCGAATTATAAGTGAACTCGACCGACAGATCAGAGAGGTTTTGGCAAAAAACAATGCCAGTAACTAGTAACATTTTGAAAAACTTTGCCTGAGACTCCGGGTCTAAATTTTAATTGTAAAGCCCTCAAAAGAAGGGAAAATGGCTGTTTTAAAATGCAATTTTCAATTTTTTATAAGCAGAATTTTGTATGTTATTGTATAGTATTTATTTGGTTTTATTTGCTGTGTGCTACCTCTCCCACCCTGGTTTATTTGTAATTGCATTTTATATACTCATTTTTTAAAGCCGTCAGTGTTCATTATTTCATGACTAACTTTCAAAACAGTTTTTCTCTAAATTTGTTCTCAGAGAAATGACTGTACTAATTTCCAGTTATATAATTTTTATGATGAGCCAAAAGAGTTATATGTTGCACTTTAAAAATGCTGTTCATTTGAAGAGATATCTTAAAAGTTGATACCACTTAAAAATCCAACTAGTTTTATTAAATTCTTTTTAGATTACCTTTTTTTAACTTGAAACATTTGCAGAGAAGTCATATGTGATCTATTGAGTGACAAATTAGTCATTTTTTTAAAATAAAGTTAATACAGATTAAACTTGTTTCAATAGCTATTAAATTTTCAAACTTTTAAGAATATGAATAGCTTAATAAGTCTCTGTCAGTCTCCTGCTGAAGATTGCATTGTTTTCTTTTGTTGAAAAGAGATTTCATTGTCCAGTAATAGTAATACTAGTTGTAAACCCTCTGTAATAAAACATGAAAGCAGACGCATAAACGCTTCAGCTAAGAAAGTAGAGTGGAAACCCATTTTTGATTTTCCCTAGTTTTAATCAATCTTTTACAAAAGTACAAGAGACTAAGTCATTGTGTCGATGTAGTGCCATGTCAATATAAATTTTTAAGGATTCCTTTATGTAAGATTGTTCAGAGCAACACTTTCACTTCCTTTTACCAGGTACTGAAAAGGTTTAATTAGCAAATTCACAGATTAAGTCAGCTTTGCAATAGATGTAGTTTAAAATTTCTTATTCCCAAATATAATAAATTTAAGTATATACTTTAGGAAGTATATACTATTTACTGATAACGTCCACAAAAGCAGAATAGGCTATTTTCTGTCGTTTTCAAGGAGGTGTATTTCTTGTTTGGGAAATTAAAGTCCCTCCATGCTTTATATTTTCTTTTTTTCCCCTTATTACCAAGTGTTAACCCAAAAAAACCCAACAGTAAATACAGAAATTACTGAATGAGAGAATAATGAATGTGAGAATTATAGAAAGAATGTGAAATATTAATTATGGCTGAACATTTTCTCTCATTGATTTTTGTGCCACATGAACAGAGTATTCTTTTCGTTTGGGAAGGTCTCGGGTAAAATATCGTGACTGTGCCTTCAGCTGCCTTGTGTGCTGCATGTGATGTTTTCAAACACTAGAGGGGGCCTCAGATTTAAAGAAACAAAAGGGACAGTCCTAAAATGGATGTGTGGTTTGCCTTCTCTAATCTTTTGGCTATGTATTTTATCAAATAAAAATCATAATTGTATACATCTTTGAGTTTCTGAGCAGTCTATTACTTTTTTGTTAAATAAATGGGGCTAGTGCTTGTCACTTCCTGTATCAAGTAACTAGCTTTGTATTTTTGGTCTTTAAATGTTTGCACTGCAGATGACTTTGTATGTTCTGAAACTGATTGGGAGTCTGAAATTCTAACACCTTTTTGTGGTCCTTCACCAGCAGACAGCTCATCCATCAGTGACGCTCACTGTGTTTATACTGATGGCTTCCCTAGGTTGTCGTCAGTGCCTGGGGTTTGAGTATGACCACAGCAGACAGATACATGAATGAGAAAAGGGGCAGGTGAGTGACTAAGAAGTTTCCTCAGTACCATATGTAACAGCAGACCTTTCATCAGATACTTTCATATGAAACAAAATTTACCTTTAAAATGTTTGTGATTCCTTTTCATGAAGAAAGCCTAGTTTCCATGCCTAAGGCCAGCCCATACCGCAGGGGAAGTGAGTCACACCTGCCAGGTACGTGTGGTGCCATGTCTGTGTAAGTTGGAAGAGTTCCTTTGCAGGTATAACCCAGTGATTTCTATACAGACCTGGGATCCTGTTGCTTTCAGCCGCGGTGGAGGTTTGGGTGGGATTTAAGGATGTACAAAGGCACTGCATGAACAGCTTAGAGTACAGCCGTGAGTCTGACCAGATGACTTTCTCATCCACATACTGCTCTGTCCAGTTCCTTCCCAGCCTGAATCCTCAGATCACCTCCGTACATACTGCTTGTCCTCAGCCACCTCAGAATGGACCACCTGACCTGGTTCTCGCAGCCTATAAAAAAAAGAGTCCTCTCCTCTGGTAGCTATGTTTGGGCTTTTAAATTTTGGCCTCTCACTACCCTTGTGTCTGGCTTGACTGAATACCTAACCTGACGTTTTTATTGCTAGAATTCACATACCATAGGACTCACCATTTTGATGCACTTCAGTGGTTTTTAGTGTATTCACCTGGTTGCACAGTGGTCGCTGCTGTCTAACATCTTCCCCCAAAGCAGCAGCATGTTCATTAGTAACCGTTACCCTTTTACATCTCCCCCAGCCCTTGGCACCACTAACTTTCTGTCTCTCTGGATTTGCCTATTCTGGCTATCTCATTTAAATGAAATTCTAAATTTGATACTAAAATTGGAACCCCGAAATATTTTTCGTGTGCCCAATTCTGTGGTATATAGCATTTTTGTTGTTGTTTAGTCACTAAGACATGTCCAACTCTTTGCAACCCCATGAACTACAGCACACTAGGCTTCCCTGTCCTTTACTATCTCCCAGAGTTTGCTCAAACTCATGTGCATTGAGTCAGTGATGTTATACATACATACATACATACATACATATATATATAAATAACTTTATTTGGGCCTTATGCATCTCCTTATCATTTAACATCTGATAAAATGCTATATATATATATATAGCAGTGGAGGGACTGTGTGTATATATAGAGTTGCTCTGTTCAATGTATTATTTTTATATACATATATATATATGTGTGTGTGTTTGTTAAGTAACAGAGATGCAGAAGGCCCAAATAAGGGAATAACATTTACCAATCAGTTAGTATAGCTCAGCTGTGCTATTATCCATTCCTTAGTAGAGCAGTCACCAGGAATAGTGAGAGGTAGAGAATGTTCTGCTGTGCCACGTCTGAGCAGTCCTGTGGTGCTGGAAATGCATCACTGATATCCTATCAAAATTGCACACTTTCCAAATGAGCACAGCCACTGTGGAGAACAACGGGGGGTCCTTGAAAAACTGAAGGTAGAGCTACCTATGACCCTTCAGCCCCACTCCTGGGCATGTATCCAGAAAAAACATGATCCAAAAGGATACATGCACCCATACGTTCACTGTAGCACTGTTTACAATAACCAAGGCTTGGAAGCAACATTAGGTCCATTGACAGTGGCGTGGATGAAGAAGATGTAGTACATAGGTACATACATACAGTAGACTACTTCTCCTCCATTAAAAAGAATGAAATGCCATTTGGAGCAACACGGATGGACCTAGAGAGTATCTATTGAGTGAAGTCAGTCAGAGGAGGAGAGATACCATATGGCACCCCACATACGTGGAATCTAAAAAGATGACACAAATGAACTTACTTACAAAACAAAGAAACTCAGCAAGTGAGCTTATGGTTGCTGGGGGAAGGGGTCGTTAGGGAGTTCGGGGTGCTCATGTGTACACTGCTGTATTTAGAACGGGCCTCCTCTGTCGTCCATGGAACTCTGCTCAGTGTTATATGTCAGCCTGGATGGGAGAGGTGTTTGGGGGAGAATGGATACATGTGTATGTATGGCTGAGTCCCTTTGCTGTTCGTCTGAAACTGTCATAATATTGTTAGTTGGGTATATCCCAATAAAAAAATTCAAAAGAAAAATTGCACACTTTCCCACGTGATTTCTAGAGTGTGAATAAGGAGAAGTATGGTTAACTAGAACATAAGGTCCATGAAGACAGAGGTTAGGTCTGTCTGTCTGCCATTTGCCTGCACCATGCAGGCACTCAGGAGTTNTGATTTCTAGAGTGTGAATAAGGAGAAGTATGGTTAACTAGAACATAAGGTCCATGAAGACAGAGGTTAGGTCTGTCTGTCTGCCATTTGCCTGCACCATGCAGGCACTCAGGAGTTGCTGCATTCATGAAGAAACACGTGAAGAAACAAATCGTTTATGGTCTGCCAGTCAAAATAGACATAAAAATGAACGACGACTGAGGTACAGCCCCTGCTGAAACTGAGGGAGTTGTTTGTTGGATTGTTGGGCTTTTTAAAAGAATGCTTCAACAGATAAAAGGTAGAACAGAGGTTACCTAAGGGATGGGGTGCAGGAATGGGGGAGACACATGTTGAGTAGGTACAGAGTTTCTGCTTAGGGTGATGATTGTAGAAATCACTGCATGGCATTGTGAATATATTGCTGTGTAATACCACTGAATTATACACTTAAAACTGTTAAAATTTTGTTTTATGTATTAATATATTTACTACAATTAAAAAAATGTTTGCTTCAAACCTGCCTATCCAGTGTTTAAATGCTAAAAGGTTTTTGCACCTGAGTCTCCCAGTAAGCCATTGTTAAAGACACTTATGTTCTCATTCCCAGGAATGCATCAGATACTTCATTATATATTTATAGTATCTTTGTTAGCAAAATCTGAAATTTGTGAAAATTAATGGCTACTTTTTCATCCCAACTTCTAAAGGTAAAATTGGGGCATCCTTGAAACTTCGAATTATGATGCCTTCACATATTATAAAATTAAGGTCTTATTATCCTTTTAAGAAAGAAAAATGACAAAATCAAGACAACACTGGTTATGTAATTGAACAGATAGTCCAGACCATGGACATAAATTTGACTGGTAATTTTTCACAATGAATTACTAGTTTCTTAAATTGGGCTTAATATCTTTTTGTTTGAGGTAGTCTGATTGTTGGTTGGTTGTCTTATTAACTGACAAAATGGTTTGTGTGAGAGTAAGTGCTGAATAAAGTCTGGGTGGATAATTTTTAACATGGTATAACTTCAAAATGAAAATCCATCTTTGACATTTGGGTTTTGGCAACTGGGACAGAGGCCTGGGAACCAAGACTTTTCAGCCTGCAGTTCTTTTGTCACCTGCCCTAGAGCATAGTCATTATGCTTCTTCCTATCCAGTGGGTTCTCTGCTTATGTGACTTGGCAGACAAGGATGCAACTCCTCCATTCTGGTGTAAATGTGGAAATACAGACAGAATTGTTTAAGCACCTACATTTTTCACTGAAACCAAAAGAATTAGAGTGGTCACTGATTTTGTTATATAACCTCTATTTGGCATCAAATTAGAATCCACTATTGTTAGGAATGTAACTGTAGAAAGGCTGCTATATACTTAAATCTCATTTTATTTGCTTCTCTGGGGGTTGTCTTCATGTTTTCATTAGGAATGTTTTTACAGATGTAGGCTCTTCAGATATAAAGTTGCTGAAATAGAGACTCAGAAGTTTAGCTTTCAAATTGAAGGGGGGTGGAAATCTGTTTAGAAAGATTAATTTATAGATAAATAATTTACTGACTCTGATACGTTAATGTACAATAATCCCGAGAGGCTTTTAAAGATGTAGTCATTATATTCTTAGGGTTTCTAGGAATGTTAAACCTGTCATTCATAATAGGAGAGAACTAAAATAGGGCCCATTTATAATTTCTTCTTGGAAACATTTCATCCACAAATTCATAGACAAATATTTTTTCTTTTCCAAATAGCTTATCTAATAGTTGGATAGCATAACCCTTTTCTCGATTAACATGTTAACTAGTCAAAAGCCTGCAGACACATTGGATGAGTGCTGAATTTTCCTCAATATTGCAGATTAAAACTTGGCCAGAACAAATAAAATATTACCACAAGAATCCTACTTTGACATTATTGTAAATTTTAGTGAATGCCAACCTGATAGTGAGAGGGTCTGTGCCTAGTAGGTATGCTCAGTTTTTTAGCAGACTCTCATGTTAATGAATAGATGGAGCAAGGCTAAAAGCATTAAAGAACTGGCTTCATGACTATGCCTTCTTTCTGTAGTCTGAAAAACAGATTCGGTCACTAAAATTTCCATGTTTTCTGGAGAGAAATACTGAATTTCAAGCAAGGCTATTATTGAGTTACTTGAGTTCAGTTCAGATTGTGTGCAAAGATGCCCTGAAGATGGGATGTCAGATCAAGAACTTGAGGCATTAATATTCAGCATGTATCTTGAGTCATTCTATTTAGATTGGATGAGATAGGAAAAAAGAAAAAGATAGCTTTAAGTCATGTCCAACTCTTGGAATCCCATGAACTGTAGCCTGCCAGGCTCCTCTGACTATGGGATTCTCCAGGCAAGAATACTGGAGTGGGTTGCCATTTCCTTCTCCAGGGGAACTTCCGGACCCAGGAATTAAACCCAGGTCTCCCGCATTGCAGGCAGATGCTTTACCAACTGAGCTACGCAGGAAAGC